GTCACCGACGTATTCTCAGTTCCTGTTCCATGGCTCCCAAGCGACAAGAACCACGTCTTTGCTTTCCACAACTCTCCAGGGCTACTAGCTACTCTTAATACTTGTGATATTGATCCTTTGATCTCCCTGATCTTCAATTCCTATTGCTCCTTTCATCAGGGTTTTAAGCCATCACGGACTTTTTTTTTATTACTCTGTTTTAGTGTTTGAGCGGCTGATTTGCCACCGCAATACAAGTGTCTCAGATGTAGTCGATCAGTTCCATGTGTATTACATTTGACTTTCCACTGCTGGTTATTCTCATTGTACGGAGTAGCTGGCAAGCCATACTTATGCAAAGTACGGAGTACGCAGTACACCATAGTGGATTGTATCGCACAGTGGACACTGTACCAAGAGAAAACCTGGAAGTCTTCCACGGCCACAAACCGAGCTCGCTAAATAACGTTTGAAAACTCAATCGTCGTAGTCTATATTTATCTTTCCATCTCTGGGCCTATATTTAATTGAGGTAGCTACCAGAATCTGACCTTGAACAGATATATGTTCTAATAATCGTCATTAATGACACATCAACTCCGACCACAAATTAAATATTCACCACTTGTGCTGTGTATGGATGTATCTGAATACACCAGCTGACACTGTATATACATACAGAGCTAGTAACTCCGTGTTCGAAAATGATCCCCACCGTTAGACGCAATTTCATCTTGTCCACACACACTAAGTGGATCACCGATTGCTTTTTTCTTAATTCTTTCAGAGAGCCTCGCCCAAGAGGCCTGCCTAAAATATTGTATGCAATAATGAAGCCACCAACACAATCAAGACGGTGCTTATCGGGTATGCCGCGGCACCTTGTAGCGGTTAAAATACACACTTGTATCGCGGACTGCAGCATTATTAGTTTACAACAGGCTACTTGCACTTGTCCACCCTGATACCGGCGAATGCAGTATTGCGCAGGAACGACACATCAGCTGCATGAAGGAAACCGATCTTCGGCATCTGATATTCGTTTTCCCCCTGTGGATTTTCACAGGCTATCCACCTTACTCCGTGATGGGACCTTTATTGGCACTGTCATCAGTTACAAGCTGGCATCTCGAACAGGCCGATAGCGATCGTATATTGTACTATCTAATGTAGTGCACCAAAAATAACCTGTCGACGGAGAGATTGGTCTTAAAGGGCCTAGCCTAGTCAGCGATCACTAGCCGGCAGGCGTGCCCTAGTGTCGCACATTTATTATACTAATATCGCTACGTATTGACTGGCAGCGCCACCTTTTACACTAGCACAACACACCCGCGAATTGTGGCTAAAGAATAAGCAGATGGTCATAATTATTTATGAAGACAGCATACCCCTTATATTTGTTAAAGAAAATAGCTGGCTTGCACCTGTGGGAAGCGCTGGCGTCGATGGCTGGCATTAGTGTTTCTAGAACCCTATACAAGCTCTTCCATGATTATTTTTGGCTCCAGCCCCTGAATAGGGCGTTTACATGCAACGTTAGCACCGGCTCTCCACGGAAGGATTTCGATCCCCAGCTTACCGTTGATTATCAAGGCGCGTCTTCTGATTACATATCCATAGAAGCTCATCGCAAGACCCTGAGCTCTGATTTATTTAAGTAAATCAGGGGGCTGTGACCCCCGGACAGCCCCCCTCCACCGTCTATCTATCTGCGTCATGATTGGAAGCCAATCCCAACCCCTATTTTTGAGGTTGTAGTTGTGCCCATATACAACATACAGGGCACTGGAAGGGCCCGAGTGGTAATACGGTGATATTATCTCTGTTTGAAAAGGCTTGCCATACCACATTATTTGTATATCGTATATATATAACATATGGAATAATTGAATCAGCATACACGTATTATCGTAGCCAATTAAACCCGCCATGGGGTTCAAATAAACAACCTAGTTTCCCGCCATTTCGAATGAACAGTTCATAATAAAGTACACAACATATGTTTTTACCCTGACAGTGTTGCATGTGCAGTGCGGTATTGTATCTTTACGACGTATTTATGTAAAGCTTTGCTATTATCCGAGGATAATAAATAGTTGTGTGCCAATAATAGCAATCTTACTCACAATATATATACCGTATTCCACATGCGAGCTGCGCAGTCCGGAACACCATAGTAAATGCGATATATGCTACACTTATATTTCAACACCCAACGCCTTTCTATTATATGTTTATTTGCCGATAGTAAGCCTTTTAAGCAAGAAATACGAGTTTTAAGGAAATTGAAAAGTGGCATTATTGTTGTATTGAAAATTACGTAGCTCGAACCGAGAAATATATAGTTATATCGTAATCATAAAGGCATAAATATTTGTTTAAGCGTCCTAGAGAAACAAGTTATTATATAAGAAGCATAAGGCTATAACAGAAAACTTATATAGGCAAGTATTGTTGAGATATCCGGTTGTAATTTATCGCATTCACTATATGTATTGGGCTGCGCAGCTCGCATGTGGAATACATTATATAACTATGTTGTAGTTAGAACTATGTACTAACCGTTAGTACTTACATTAAAATCTTGAATAACGTCAGGATATACTACATCCCTAATAATGAAATACATTCAACAAACGCTAATCGTTGCTTAAATATTGCCCTTTTTTTAGTTTTGTTTATTTGCGACGTTTTCGCTAGCAATTGCATAACATAGGCCGAAAGACGACACGCGGACAGCATGTTCAGGTACAGCGTATATTACCTTACCCCTTCTATGATAGTTACCCTCTTCCCCTATATATCTCTATAATATATTTATTAGGACTAGTAGAGCAAATACACCCGAGGACTCTAGGTAGTCATCTTTCGACTGGAGGGCTCACTCCATTCATTATTTATTTCTCTCGATTTTATATATATACTAAACCACATAATTTGCGCCCAACTTCCACTGAAGCTATTTTGAATAAATGATTGAACTGAACAACGGATTATATACTGTATAAATCTAGCTCGAGCCGGGAATGTTCGCCAGTGATGCCAAAACCCTCTACAGATAGATGTGCAGGGACGAATGACCTAACCTCTCGCCAATTATAGATTATATCTGGAGATCTAGTGTATACACTCAGGTCAGATTCCAGATTTATCCAACGAGCAAAACAGACAATCTCCACTGTGTATTTGCTGGGAGGCAAGGGGACGCCGATCCTTATTAGAATAGCGATGGAATGGCCTCAATCGTCCCTCAGAAAAGTGTTGAGTGCCCGTGTTGATCTACTGTAAGGTCCAATCCAACTTCGACTGCAAGCCACCCGGTACAATGCAACTCCTCTATTTAAATTAGCATGCTTGAGAAGTTTATTCATTCCGAGTGGGGCTGTACGGCTACCTCGCCAGGAACAAACAGTACCTGCCGCAAGGAGGTCCAGCCTAACGGCGCTTGAGACCTCCGCGGGTTTATTCATACATTATTCTCGCATTAGGCAGTCTCCGGACTTCATGTGTTCTTTGTGCTGATTATGATGGATATCGTAGAGCTGCAGTTAGCTGGTTGTTGGTTTCCCCCTCTCCCCCTCTTCCTAGCCTAGTGTCCATGTGTACCTGCAGGTAACCCGTCTATGTCAAATGGTGTTATTTACGGAATATGGCTTCCCTAGTGACATTGTTTGGTGCGCAGTTTTAGCTCTAGGACTTGGTTTCCACCTATCTAGGATTGCTGCTAGGGCCGTATGTGTATAAACGGTAGTTGATGTCTTTTTCTGATACTCAATATTATCTCCATAGATCGTATTGGGTCTTCAAGTTTAAGATCACGGGCCCTACAATGACTAGTATTGACATTGGCAGAGCTTGTAGGCGTTATTGATTCTACATATAAGTGGGCTGAACCTTCATACATGACAGATTCTATAACTAGTTAACTACGGGGTGTAACTTCATCTATTGCATATTTGTGTTATAGTTACTGTCCCTAGCCTCACGATACATAGCCTAATTCGGAGTAGCATATGAATGGGATCTTTACAAGTTAATATACTAGTATTCTAGGTTGATTTTTATTATTTGCTAGGTGTTGTTTTTGGTATAATGCCTACTGTCATATATATATGCCGCTATAGCTGCGCCCGATATATAATCACAAATTAACAACAATCATAATTCTCTTTCTTCCTCTAGCACTAAGTAAAAAAAAAAGAGAACCACATGCATATTTATCCTCGTAATAGCTAACCTCAAACTACAAACAACTTTAAAAATATCTAGGATATCGGAGCCCGGAGTGTTGCGGATGACACGACATATACGGTAGGACCACTATAATAATACTATATTAGTGAACCAATGCACTAAATTCTATAAAGTAGGCCAAATGAACTCCTGCATAGTATAAATCCATGAGTGGTTCTAATCTAGACCTCATCTGGGCAGCCATAGATAGAGAGGTCTGTCAACCTTGGAACACTCGGGAAGTCCCGACGTTGGGAGGTCCACGGGCTATGATAATGTTTATTTTCTCACATTCAGTGCTCCAGGGCTAGTTAATAATACAACAAACAGTGAACTTTTCGCAATAACAGCCCGGGTTACGACCTACAAGCCTAGATATTAACGTGTGGTTGAGGTGGTACATGGAGTTGCGGGTTGCTCACGTTGCCGTGCCAACGCATCCGTTGACAGCTCAACAGCCGGAGCAACATGGGACCAACCTTAAATGAGCAAAGAAAATCACCGGGGCCTCCAGGACTGACGACTGACCTGGTCAGCGCAGACACAGTGTCTCATCTCATTTAGAGAGACTGTCATCATCACCACCAGCGCCCGTAAGGTCTCATTGACGGATTAAAAATCTCGGGATTGTGTATTACCATTGAAGCAACATCGCGACCATGGCAAGGATCAACACAGCCAACCCACTGGTCAAAAACACGCCTCACAAAGAGACTGTCATATCCCACAACAGTCCACTGTCTAAAGAGCCATGTTTCAATTTCAGAAACACAGCCAAGCACAATATGACCATTAAGCCGCAAAGCCAGTGGCGACGGCAGGCAAATGGCTCAAGTGGATCGTTTAATATATTACCCGACAGCGATTCGGCATCGGAAAGTGAATGTGGACAGCATAGGTCTACCGGAAAGCAGCAAAAGCAAAGAACACTGGGACTCGCACGTGTGAACTCCTTACTCCTACCAGCGAAGCGGAGACCACGTCCAGCCATCCGAAGAGAGACCGAAGATTACGACAAGGAGAATGACGTGCCAGAATACGCTACGGATGGATATCGAACGCCAGATTTAACACCAACAAGGCCGAATGCCCCACAGCCTCCAAGAAGCAGGATGGATTACACCGCCGCAACACAGCCAGTGAATGACCACCACGAAGAACAAGAGGAGCCCGAAATCAGCTTTGAAGAAGAAGATAGTTCTGACTCACTAGATGGGTTCATTGTCAGCGACAATGAGGAGCTTAGCTCCTTTGAAACATCTGATTCTGAGACACCCGACACAGAAGACGAACCTAGTCCGGCTCCATCACCTGTTAGGTCACCAAGAAAGAGACTTATGCGTGGAAGAAGACCAAAATCAGAAGCGGAATCAAACGCCACTGCGGATGAAAAACCATCAATGGAACCGACGAAGGCGGCGATAGAGCTGAACCGATCAACTGAGATATCAAAGGCAGTCGCCTCAACACCTGAATACTGCACACCAAATGTTGCATCAAATTTCAAATATGCATCCCCTGCACGTAAGGCGGAGGTACCCAAGCCACATGTTGATTTAAGCTACCCTCTTCATGGCGGCCTCCACACCAGCGACCTCATCCAACACCTTGAGGATCTTGATCTGGACAGCGACAATGAATCTACATTACAAACACAGCCAGAACATTCCAAGTAAGTTCGCGCGGGACGAGCATTATTATGGCCTTCTAGCCCCACGGCAATAATTCGCACTAACTTCTTCTCACAGCTCAGAATCAGAGAACAAACTACCGTCGAAACTATACCCAACTCACAAAAGCCTACCACCGGTGACACCGTCGCACGCGAACTCTCACATTTCTCTCAATCGCGCTCTCACATCAGTTGATAGCTCACCAGAAATGGCTATTCCCATGACCCTAAAGGCCAAGAAACAGGCCGAGACGGCGCGGAAGCGCGAGATTCGAGCCCAGCTGGCTGAATTCAACCAAAGGAAGATCGGCTTTGCCGAAGAGTTCCTCCGACACCTTGACAATGCCTTCAATGACCAGATTTCTCGCATGACCGAGGAAACCGGCGGCATCAAGATCATCTGGACAAAGAATTTCAGAAACACCGCTGGCCGAGCAACCGTACGTTCAGAAAGATTCCTCAGAGGAGACGCCGGTGTAGAAGAACCCGGGAAACGGCGTCACTATGCCACCATTGAGCTCTCCGAGAAAGTCCTAGACAGCGAAGACAAGATCCTTTGCACGATGACACACGAGTACTGCCACCTCCTCGATATCATGGTCACTGAAAACAGAGCCAAGGGAACGGCCCAACATGGTGCCAGCTTCAAGCAATGGGGTGACCGATGTGTCCGCGCACTGGAAAGCCATCCCATCTACGGAGGTCGGGTTGAGGTTACGACCAAGCATACCTATGAGATCAACCACAAATACATCTGGGCCTGCAAGGTCCAGGACTGTGATTTCAAGGTCGGGCGACACTCGAAGAGTGTTGACCCAAAGCGTCAGTTCTGTGGCCGTTGCAGGGGCGTCCTCGAGCAGATCCAGCCGGTGCCGAGGAGGCCTGTTGTCAAGGCGATTGTTTCGGGTGCGCAGAAGGAGATTGTGGCCATTGATCCTTGATATCTGATGGACCGGCTATGCTTGCAAATATCTGAGTATGACTAGCGGGATCATCAATGAGCACAATATAATGAATATAAGAATTTCTGTATGTTATTATATGTTCTGGGATAATAATTCCAAGTAGGTGCTTGTTGTGGAGTAAACAACCTAGGAACTGTTGGTCCCGCCAGCCTAGTGTGATTTTAAATCAATTCGACATTTATTAATTAGACCTGTATTCAATGCTACGATAGAAACGGATCGAAGCTGAAGAATCTCAACAGTGAATATGTACATATAAATTTTTCACAACGGTTACCATGTTTGGGTTAACCTCCACTTGGTGGCGCCAGGTTGGTCTTGATGAAGCTCACGCTGTCGACCAATCAGATTAAGCTAGGTTTCTAAGATTGTCCGCTTTGGGTTTAGTCTCCGCAAAGCTTCCATGACATAGTTATCAAGATATTGAATGTGATGGCGAGTCAGAACTTTGAAGGCTATGTAAATAGGAGTGTTTCTGCTTGGAAAGCATGATAGAAACACTCATTCTTCTTTGCACTATTCTCACACCTCGACCCCGTCCCCATAATGGCTTTTGGATACAAGAAAGTCCTGATTATCGGCGCCACCTCCGGGATTGGCAAAACCCTGGCTGACAAAGTCGTCCAAAATGGATCAAAATTAATTGTCGCCGGTCGTAGAAAGGAGAACCTCGATGAGATCGTCCAGCGATATGGCAGTGACAAGGTCTCTGCCAAGGCATTTGACGTCGTGCAACTCGAGCAGGTAAGCTCACCCATGCCAAGCAAGATATGTCCCAACTAACGTCCAACGAAAACAAAGATCCCACAATTTGCCTCCGAGATCATCTCGGAGAACCCCGATCTGGACTGCATCTTCGTCAACTCGGGCATCCAACGACCCTTGGACTTCTCCAAGCCGGAAACCGTCGATCTGGACATCTTCGACCAAGAACTGATCACGAACTATATATCCGCGGTCCGCATAGCCAAATTATTCCTCCCGCACTTGCAGAGCCAGAAGACCACAACAGCGATTGCATTCACGACGTCGCAAATGGCGCTCGTGCCCATGATGCGATGCCCGAATTACGGCGCTTCCAAGGCTGCTCTGCACCATTTCATTCTTGCTCTCCGCACTCAGCTGCAGGATGGCCCTGGGGATGTGAAGGTTCTGGAGATCTATCCTCCGGCTGTGCAGACTGAGCTTCATGATGCTAAGCATCAGCCTGATTTGAAGGATGGACATTTGATTGGGATGCCGTTGCAGGAATTTGTTGATGAAGTTTGGGATCGGATCTCAGAGGGCGAGGACCAGATTCCTGTCGGGTCTGCGAGGGACATTTACAATGCGTTCGAGATTAAGAGGCAGGAGTTGTATCGGGATATGACGGAGTTGCTTTCTGGATTGTTGAAGCAGTTTTTGAGGTAGGAGCTTTGATGTTTTAGATGCATACAAAGATTATATCTTTATAGATATGGGACTCACGTTATATCATCTTCCTTCTCAGCTGTCGATATAAGAGTTCACAGGCGGAGATGCAGTTGAGGAGACAGCTTGCCCTTTACAAGCCGCCAGTATCAATCCACTGAAACAGGAAACATCATGAACACGACCCGCAGCCAATCCATCCGACCACTCATTTAATGAAACCATGGATCCCTCGGTGTCGGAGAGTGCATTTTGCCACGCTGTCTCAGAATGCTCGTCCCATAAATTCGTCCGTAAATCAAACGGCAAAGAGTCTATAAACGGCGTCCGGACTGAATAGTTCCTCGTATTCAACGAGTAAGCACTGCGCAGCATGAAGCAGACAATAATCGTCCGCCGAACACTCTCAGCAAGAAGCCAAGCACATCGAGGACTAAGGGTCTGTGGAAGTTGAATAGGTGCTTGTTGCCACAGTTTCCCGGCGATTCCCGCCAGCATAACACTAATCGCTTCTGAATATGGACATGCATTACCGTCTTCATTGAGAACCAACATACATTGGATCAACACCAAAGCTTGACTGCATGCCAGTAGTTCTTCGAATGTCGCAGCGTGGCTTAGTCGGCGATAGAGGTCTGCTGAGTATGGCCGGAGCATTGACAACAAAGTAACGCTCATGCGACCCGTTTGCCCGGTTTGCATGTTAAGTCTGCAGATATTGTGGACCCCACGAACAGGGGGTGGCAGACCATTCGGATAAAGGTCAGGGTGAATGAAAAGGGTCTTCCCGGTTTCTACAAAATCGACCGGTAAATCCCGCAGCCCGGTAACGAGAAATCGAATGATATTTGGATCATATTCTTTTACGATTTCTAGTTGCAGGGGTGCATGTATTTGTGGCGTGGGAGTCGCGTTCATAATTGAGCGATTAGGGCCCACATACCGGTCAGAAGATGGCTTTCGAGTAGATTGTATTGTAAGAGGTACATTCACATATTCACAGTTGATGTCTTTGCCTAGACACCTGCTGCATCGGGGCCAGCCTTGGTCACATCGCCGCTTGCCTTTGATGCAGGCTTGGCATGATCTGCGTAATGTCACTTGCTTTGAACGATCAGCAGGCATTGCGCTAGGCTACAGGTATGCCGTGATTGAAGATACAAGTTTTTGATCAATTCAGACTCTCCAAGAGCAATTCCGGTCTCACTGGTCCGCCACCGTTCTAGATTAGTAATATCATTGTCCCAGGTTCATGTCAAACCAACATACCTAGGGGATACTAGCATGTCGCGCTCAACTATAATCAGACATGATGTTATCTTTTGCAATATTTGGTAGATAAAATAAAGATAGCAAGAAAACAGACACTGGTAATGCCTGCTGACAGCCAACTAGTTACCTTTTTTGGAGTTGGAAATAATGACAATAACACTGCTTCGGGTGCCAGCCTCCAAATTACACCAATCACGTTGGTTCTCTGGGCCGAAACTAAGAACCATTTGACGGCATCAAAGAAAAGACTGGAGACTCTACATCTCAACTTAGCCAACTGATAGAAGAAAAAAAAGAAAGACCAATAAGCAGTTCTTATGCGCTCATAGCAGATTTTAATGTAATGAAGCCGTGCGTTGCAGCTTTGTATGTTTCTCAACGCCGAGATTAGCCCTGAAGGGTAGTCTTAGGAGTTGTGCAGCTTAGGGTTCATCCCTGCCCAATTCGGATGTGACTATACGGTGCCGAGAAGATAAGTCCCACCAATTTCTACTTGCAGCCCGTTTTATCCTGCAGAAATACGTGGCATCCCTTGCTTCTGAGGTAGACCCTAGTGCTTACGGCTTATATCGAGCTAAGTATTTATCACGAGAACCTAGTTGCCTTTATCTTACTTTCTGTGTGTCCCTCTAAATATTCATCCAGTACACAGAGCAAGAAACAATGTCAAACTTCACAGAGAGGACGGACAATTATCCGAATCTGAGTCGTCCGCTCGGATCAATGAGACCAGAATATGATGTGGTGGTTATAGGATCTGGCTATGGCGCTGGAGTAGCGGCAAGTCGAATGGCTCGAGCAGGGAAGAGTGTCGCGGTGCTAGAACTTGGCTGGGAAAGAAGATGTACGGGTCGAGAGACTTCGATTAAAATACCATCACTAACTTTTCCATAGCTGGTTCATTTCCACTTACCTTCCCTCAATGTCTGAAAGATACAAGCATCTTGGGTAGCACTGCAAAGAGCTCCTTCATCTCAAAGTGGCTATCGTCTAGAGACCCCACGCGGCTTTTTCAAGTATTTTTAGGCTATGGACAGCATTCGTTTGCGGCCCATGGTAGGTGAAATTCATGCCCCCAGAATTAAAGAAGCAAAACCCAACGGATGTTTTTGATTGGAATCATAGGGCTTGGAGGATCTTCATTGATCAATGCCGGAGTTTTCCTAACAGCGGATGAAAGAACACTTCAGATGAGTCCATGGCCATCGGAGATCAGGGACGATCCATCTACGCTTGATGAATGTGAGTTATCCATGCATGCGAAGGACATTTCATAACATATAACCTAAATGCAGACTACACACGCGCTGAAACAATGCTGCAACCTTCCACATATCCGGATAGTTCAACCCCAAACAAACTCGGGCATCTTCAAGAAGAGTCGAGATGGCTTGGAGAGAAGAATAATTTCTATCGGGTACCGCTGACCATCTTTTTCCATAATGGCCCCAACAGGGCAGGTGTCCCTATGCAGGCAAATAGAGAATCCGGCCATGAGTGCACTGGTCTCAATGACGGTTCAAAAAACTCGGTGGCGACAACTTATCTTGCAGATGCCTGGAATTGGGGAGCTGAGATATTCTGCGGATGTGAAGTTCAATTTGTAGAAAAGTCGGATGGCGGAGGCTACACTATACACTTCGCCTGGCATGGAAGAGGGAGGTCGGTGTTTGCGGATCATTTCAAGGAACAACTCTTTTGGGTCAAAGCAGTAAGTGTCGAATGCAGCCTTAAAAGTGGATATCTCAACTGACGCTGTCTACTTCAATCGCAGAAGGAATTCTGTTTTCTTGGGGCCGGTGCTTTAGGAACTACTGAAGTCTTGCTTCGGTCGAAGCAGCACGGCCTCCCTATGTCACCGCTTGTTGGAAGAAACCTCTCTGGAAATGGCGACCTTTTGATATTTGGTACGTCCTTCTCCAGAATACAAATCCCGAGCATATTTGATTTACAACTTCAAGGTTATAATGGTAGTGCCAATATCAATGGCATCGCCCGTGAATCTTCGCATCCTCCCCCTGGGACAACCGTCACTGCCGTTATTGATAATCGAGTCGTGGATCCACTGGAAAATCCTCTGTCTGGATACGTTATCCAAGATGGCTGCATTCCTGAGATGTTCAACCCAGTAATCCAACTCATGCTCACCCTGCAGACCTTGAAGAGCCAGGCACTATCTTGTCTTCGGAACCCTCGACAAGAAGCCAGGAAGACCGTTGCCTCTCTCAAGTCTCTCCTGTTTGGTCCGTATGCATACAATGGATCTCTTCAGCGGACTTCAACTTATCTTGTGATGTCTCATGACAGCAACGAGATAACGTTGACCTTGAAGGATGATCAATTGTGCTTGAGGGGTCCGGAAGAAGGACGATCCGAGCATTTCAAATGGATAAAGAAGATGTTCAAGGAGCTTTTTTCTCGCACAGGAGCAGATATGGGGTTTTCATATTATTACGGTAAGGGTTAATAAAAGCCACCGCAAAGCCACGCTAAATGTAGCCAAAGGCCGCTACCAGGAGGAAGTCACAGTCCATCTACTTGGAGGAGCCAACATGAGCAACGATGGAACAGGATATGGGGGTGTAACAAATCATCTAGGAGAGGTCTTCAGCGGCTCTAAGAGTGAAGTATACAACGGCCTCGTGTGCTGTGATGCATCTATCATCCCGACGGCCCTAGGTATGTTGAAAGGAGAGGTTTTACGGCTATGTGCTGATTCTGACAGGTGTGAACCCGCTGGCCACAATATCCGCCCTTTCCGAGCGATCCGTCAACTTGATCACTGAGCGACGTGGATTGTCAATTGACCTGGAGACCAACAATCAACCTTTGAATGCATACAGCAAGCCTAGTGTATCATGGGATTGCCAAGGTCAACAAGACACCAAGAAAGGACCCCAGTCCATAGGATGGCAGTTTACAGAGATTATGCATGGGTACATTAGTATGGGGTCGGAGATCGGAGATTTTGCACTTTCTGAGAGGGTAGGGAAAGGCTCATCTTGCGCGATGCGGATTTTTCTTACGATCGAAATCTGTCGACGAAGAGGTAAGAAATTGAGAGAGCCCTCTAGCAGTAGAATGCTCACATGTACAGATTTACAATACCAAGGAACATGCACAGGGACGATTTCTTGTTACGCATTATCCAGAGCGACGCTCAAGATTGTCGATGGGACGGTGGACTTTTTCACGCCGCTACAACAGAATGCCGAATCATCAGCCATTTCATATCACCTAAAGCTTCTTTCGGTAGAAGGCATACAGTACCGCTTGGAAGGCCACAAGCTCATTAACTCGAACATAGCATTCTCCGTTAGAAAGACCTGGGAAGCGACAACTACGGTGAACGCCAATATCACTCGACTGGACGGGACACATGTTGGAGCAGGGGCCCTTCATATCTCATTGATAGACTTCAAAAAGCAGATGAGAACATTTCGAACGACAGGAGTCTTCCAGCCCAGTCTTATCGTGACTTTGATGTGGTTCTTATTTTCTTTTGTGTACCATATCAGTTTCTTCTTCTTTCGCCCTTTCGTCTACATGCGCTTCCCTCGGATCCCAACCAAAGCCACCGATTCAAAGCAACCACCTTCTACCTCTTCCAGCATCACAACAAGTGATGGCGTACAAGTACGCCTTGATACATATGACCCACTTCCTATTCAAAAGGCAGACGAACCAGGACTCAACTCCAATCTTTCACCAGTCCTGCTTATACCCGGCGTCACTGGGGTCGGCGCAATGCATAATTTGTTTTCACTGCCGTTCTTGCGCTGCAACATGGTTGCGTATTTCACGCAGCGTGGACATCGATGCTACACACTCACGCCTCGTTGGGGCAGTGATCCTGCCGTTGCCCAGAAAAGCACTGTCTTCGATTGCCGTCTTGACGTTGCTGCTGCAATAGCTTACATTCGCGACAGAGAGCGACAGAAGCCCTATGTGGTAGCCCATTGCCAAGGCTCTGTGGCTCTCTGCATGGGACTGCTGGATGGAACTATCCAGAGTAGCCAACTTCTCGGTGTTACTGCCAACTCAGTCTTCATGAACCAGGTCTTTGGGTATTGGAATTCCCTCAAAGGGAGAACGACTCTGCTGATCCAGTTGTACGAATTATTGGCTGGGAATTACTTCCCGATAGCCAGCAGTGTTAAGAGTGTTCTTTTCCAACGATTACTCGACACTCTCCTTCGTTTCTATCCTGTTGGTCACCCGCGAGACCTCTGCACATCTACGGCGTGTCGCCGGACATCTTTCGCTTTTGGGTTGCTATGGAATCATGAGAACCTTGATATGGGTCTTCATGACAACATTCACCAATTTTTCGCGGGGACCCATACAAAGCTTATGAAGCAAGTGGTTCGCAGTGGAACTCGTGGAGTCTGCTTGGACAATGATTCATGTCCCCTTCTGACAGCCGAGAATTTGCAACGGCTGCAGGGGTTACCGATTCTCTTTGTCTCGGGTACGGAGAACCAAGTATTTAGTCCCGAGTCTACCCTCAAGGACTATGAGTTGTTACGACGACAATTTGGCGAGAGACTTTATCGCAGATTTCTAGCCGAGGGGTACGGGCATCTTGATCCTATTGTGGGAAAACATGCGGCCAAGGATGTATATTGGAGGATCTTTGCGCATTTGAGATGGTGCACCAAAGAGATGGTAAATATGGATTTGCAAGCCAACGAATGACGAGAGAGATCATTGAAGCTGAAGGGATACACATAGGGCTACACCGCCACGACTCTGCAGGAATTCAAATGCCCCCCTTGACGCCCTGCAAGGTCTTTTCATCAACATTTCTGATAAGTACTTTGATTCAGATGGGGAGGAGACAATTGATTGGGGCTTTGCAATATTGGAGAACTAGACAACTCCAAAATGAAGCTACGATAATAGCTCATATAAGCTACCACTCCAGCCCTGTCCAAGTGAATCCTTCTACCACATCCAAAGTGGATTAAGTAGACTCCGCTAAAAATCCAGATCAACCAATAAAACCGACGAATCTATACTCGTGTGTGGGCCCCCAATCACTCGCAGTCGCTTGGATAACCTCACTGCCCTTACACTTGCGGGAGGCGAATCAAACGACCCACAAGCTGCGAACCAAACTTTCGCCATAATGGATCGAAGAATTTGCTGTCGAAACCGATGTGAAACACCCCCCCAAAAGCACACCTAGACATACCCAAAGCACCAACCCATCATGTCCGAAGTCGTATATATCACCACAGAACCCTCAGACCGGATTCGCGCAAAAGGAACCACCCAGGCACCCGATTGGATCCACCCGCAGCTAATCGAAAGCACCGACGCGATTAAAGGCCGCCAATTCCGCGTTTCCGGTCCCATCCCCAAAGGCGCCTGTCTCCTCGTCGATTCCCCCTATGCAGTCATCCCCGTCGTCGACGAACCCGCCCACAACGACAACCTCATCTGCAGCAATCCTGCTTGTAATCGGCCGGCACCTTGCCATGCCCGGACTTCATGTCTGAATGCCTGTATCCCGGATGTGACGTGGTGCGGAAGCACATGTCGTGACGCTGATAGTCTTCGACATGGGTTTGAATGCGCTTGGCTTAAACGCTATGCGGGGACCATTCGGTCTAAATGGAGTGAATATGATTTTGGCATGCTGTGGGTGGTTCTTCGGCTGCTTGCTGCGCGACATTGTCAATTGCATGATGGGAGAGATGTTGGTGTTGAGTCGACGGGCCATTGGAAGCATGGATGGAGTGGTATTGAATCGCTCTGTGGTTCTGAGGATACTTGGCCTCATGACAAGGTCCGATCTTGGTCTGCTCTTGTGAAGAAGTATTTGAAGAGTAATCCAGCTCTTCCCCATGAGATGAGTGCAGATCGTGTTCTTCATCTCATTTGTCAGGAAGAGGCAAACTCATTTGGTCTTTACCCACGAGAAACAGGCATTTTTCCTCTGCCGAACCCTCCTGTCGACAGAGGGGAGCAATTCGCTGCTGCTGTTTATCCCACTGCGGCAATAGCTAATCATTCGTGTCTGCCAAATGTAAGTGGAATTCTTCCCCTGGGGTGCAAATTTGGGAAATTAAATACTAATTTACCAAAAGATCATCCATAAAGCCGACGATAAAGGCCGTATGGTCTTTACCGCCTCCCGCGACATCTTTCCGGGCGAAGAATGTTGCATCTCGTACTTCGACTTGACACAATATACCGATCTCACTTCACGTCGCGAGCATCTTCGGAAATCATTCCGTTTTGTGTGCCAGTGTGAACGATGTGTTTCTGAAGAGTCCACAGAAGAATCAACAGAATGGACTGCAATGCCAATGATGGATATGTGAAAACGACTGACTATAAAATGACTAGATCTATAGAATCTTACTAGATAGCATTATACCACAATACAACTTTTGATTTAAACACATGAAATAATCTTGCAAGTCAATTGTTTTATTTCTATCTATCCCTAAAGTGCAAATGGCACTTGTTCCATATCCTAAGCCTTTAGCTATCACAGCCATATCCTCCCAATAAAATCCCAATCCCAATCCCAATCCCAATCCCAATCCATCGATCCGCCATCCAATTCCATACAAAAAAAGACATTTAAACAAAGAGGCCCCAATCACAAATTTCCAATCTCCCAATCAAAGCCGCAATAGTCTCCTCCGCAACAACCTCTTCAAGCGACAAACCCCTAGGGTCACCACTCTTATCAAACTCCTCATGAGGCACATTAAAGAAAACCAACAAATCCGTCTCCTGCGCCTCAAGCCTAACAAGCAAGAAATGACACGTCAACCTCGAAACCTGCGGCAAACCATTAGAATCCCCACCCGTCTGCGCACCCAACACCCCAGCATCCGCAACACCAGCAGCAGACCCGTCAACAGACGCAGGGACACGTCCACCGCTACCGCGCACCGGCGTCGTGAAGGAGACAACGCCGCGATACGCCTTGATAGCGGAAGCGGGGGAAGGCGAGGACGAAGCAAGCTGGACTTCGACGCGCGTGGGAGATGTGATCACCTGCATGGTGTCGCCTTCGTCGCAGAGATCGTGCAGGTGGTACAGGGCGGCTGCTTGGTCGACTGTTTCTGCGGTTGCGGACGCTGCGCTACCGCTGCCTGGGGCGGCGGTGGGTTGTTGGTGGTTGAGCGCGGCGAAGATGTTTAGAGCTTCGGCTTGCGGGACGCGCTGGTTGATTTCAATGATTAGGTTGGAGAGGGTTGTTGGGGAGAGCCATAGCTCTTGGTGGTCGGGGACCTCGCGGAGGGTGCTGGGATTGGATGTTAGTTTCGGGGGTTACGTTTGATTGGGATGTTCTGGGATGGGATTGGAAATGGATTGAAGGAATGAAATGGGAATTTGATGCACAGGAAGTTTGTATACTAACCTCGAATCAATCCAGCCCTGGGGCACGACGCCGCGGATGGCTCCTCCGAAGAAGTCTTGCTCTGTGAATTGAGACATGATGGAATTGATATGTTGTGATTGCAAGATGAAGGATTTTTATCTTTTTCTTTCTTTCCTCTGTCTTTTCGAAAGGATGTTCTGCTGGTCGTGCAAGATCAAATCCAAATTCTTCGAGATAGATTCTGGATTTTTTCGCCGGTCCGTTTTTGTTTTTGTTTGAAGTTCAACAATGTAGAAGAAGACAAGCAATATTGGAGAGGAGCACCGATTAACAGGGACTATATAGTTCCAGAATGGGGAATCCTTCTAGGTAGACAAGCAGACGTGCATGAGGCAACAAGTGCGGGCGGGTGTTTTCCGCCCAATGACGTTGGGCGATTTGGCGATTTGGCGGGGTGTTGACTCAAATATACGAAACTACGAAACTACGAGCTATGTTAACCGAATTTTGAGTCAGTATAAGGGATTTGAGTCATTATAGCTATAATTCTTGATTCCATTTCAAATTGAAAGGCGAAGTAAACCCCCTTAGCGGAGTCGTGTTTCGCCATTCACTCAAACAGTTCCTCCACATAGCGGTCTAGCTCGACCAGCTTGAAGCGGTCTCCCCACCGAGTCCGAAACTCCTTCTTTCGGTAAGCATAGCTTGTCCCCTGCGAGAAGCTCACAAGCTCAACATTCCAGCCGCGCTGCAGCGCGCGCTCGACCATCTTCATGAATCCACCAGAGAACTCGGCCACGGCCGCGTCCCCCGTCGCCAAAACAATAGTCGCGGGATCTTTCGTGTCTAAAAGGCTCTCCAGGATCTTTAGGTGCAGAATTTCGTCCACACCCTGCTCGACCCATCGCTCTCCAGAGGCAGCGACCATTTCAGGACCGCTAGATGCACCCTGAGAACTGGAGCCATGGTTTTTCCAGGACTTGTTATTGCGACGGGGGGTGACGGTCTTCGTCTTGTGCACACGCTCGAGGATACTAGCTTCATAGCCGAGTCTCTCGGCTTCATCAACGGAGGGAAGACGATCCGAGCCGACCAAGACTCTCTTGGCGGTCTGGCGGCCGCGTTCCATGATCAACGAGAGGTTCGCAAAAGACATGTGAACGCGACGGATTCGACTGGAGAGAGGGATGTTGCGCGAGGTTTTCACCGCATCATGAAATCCCACCATAATCTAAGATGAATTAGCTTGAGATGAGTTTTTTTGGTAGAGGGGGGACTGAAACGTACGTTTGACATATCAACAAATATATGAATGGGATGCAAATCAATACTCTCGATGGGACGGTGTTGCGAAATCTGCCCTACTTGAGACACAATTTGGGCATAGGCGGGGAAGTGGCCGAGGAGTCTGGTAATCAAGGTGGTTCTTCGGTCCGCGGCCGATAGGTGCAGGGTAGACCGCACACGAGCACCCCCCGAAGCAAGCCCTTTAACGGTGTCGGCATTTAATATCCAGTCATTATCCTCAAATGATGACGGTGGGGTGTCATAACGACAATTCTTTGCTTCAGACGTGCCGACCCGAGTTGGGACAAATCGAATGGCTACTGGTTTCTCGGAAAGGGGATGATCAAACACAATGCTTGAGTCTGAGTCTAACCCAGCACTTTCTTCCGAAGTGACTGGATTATTGCGCGTGTTCTTATGGAAATCCTTTCCTCGAGATCGAGGCTTGGGTTTTGCTGTGGGAGTATCACTTGAATCATCAACTCTGGCTTTAGCAATCGTCTCTGGCGGGGTTCGTGGAATACCAAATTTCACATCGGCACTAATTCCAGAAGGCACACGAACAGAGGTCCGCCTCAAGATAGTGAATGATTGACCCTGAAAATCGGCAGGAATACCTGTCGCCTGGGCTTTTGGGCGAGAAGAGGAATGGGAAATATAGCCAGTGGCGGTGTCATTGGGGGCCCAGGGATTTGGCTCGTTGATGACGCGAGAGATGTTGGACAAAACGGGGGCGGATGTTTCAATACCAGGGGGGCCGGGGAATGAGACCTTCTTGTCCGGTCGTTCCGCTGAGGTAGGAGGAAGTTCTTCAAGCGATGGCTGAACCTTCTGCAGCTCAGACTTGGTGGTTTTTGTGGTCCCTAAAGTTGGCGTGACGCCCGCAGGAGCGGGGACCCCGTTGAAAAGCTCCCAAAGAGCACCAAAGTCACCAAGCTTCGGGTTACTCCGATTTGAGATAAGATCCACGAGCCTACCATTGGTGGTGTAACGAGGATCACCTTTGGCTTGTTGTTCACCAAGCGAGGGGATTGTAGATTCATTGTGGCGACTAGGTCTCGCAGTGCAGCCATCGATAGGCGACCGTAATAGGTCATGCACTGGAGTGAAGTCCCAGTTTAAAGGGATAGGGGAGTCCGATGCAGTCATTGACAGCTGATGAGATAGATGTAACGGGTGTGTAGCAGGTTCGTGTGTTAAGAGTTAGATGGTAGTAAATGAAAGAACGATGAATTCAACGTCTTGTCACCAAGATAACGATCCAGTTGATAATCACAGAGAATGAGATGATAATGCATGAAGAAGCACAAATCTTAGCCACATAGTGAGTCAGAACGAAATGATGAGGAATGAAACAAAACAAGTTGATCGGAGATGGACGACCTCCGTTGATGCCCAAACAGGTGACGGAGACGGTGAGTGGTTCTGCTAAGTATTTTTGACCGCCTAATGCTGTTTGTTCCCAATCAGGCTTAGTTGTCCCTGGAAGTGTGGGGTCTAAATTGTATCACGTGACAAACATATGATAGCCAAGAGATATTCACGTGATATCTAAGCTTTAAAGCCTTGGCACCTGAATATCTTCATGATGTCATCTCCGGAACATCAAGCGAATCGAACGAACCGAGAGCATGATGCCATCGGGTGCCACAGCCTGTATTTTGCGAAAACCATCTGCACTAAGCCTTAGGAACCTCGCTGATTGGAGGAACCATTATTTAATTTGGAGGTTGTGGTTAGTCCGGGGTCCCTACTCAAATAGATCTGTAACACATTCCCTACCTGGTATATGGTGTCTATTGTGAATAAAGTAAGTTGATCACGATAGCAAACACGAAAGACGCCATGTAGTATCTCTTCTTTATGGGCTCGTAATCAGGTAAACAAATCTACATAAACCTGCTCTTTACCTCTTCAGCTATTCTTCCTTTATCAACATCTTCTACTTCAATCAGAGCACACAGTTCTACTTTCAACTACCAAACACCAATTAATATTCATCATGTCTGACACCGGTCGCAAGGATTTCATTACCAGTATGTGATACTGCTTTATATCTGCCTGTCAAGTTGCTATGTTATAACATCGTTAGTGACCACTTCTTCCCACAGAGGCCAAGGAGGAGATTACTCCCGACTCCACCAAGTCCACTCAGGATAAGGCCAAGGAGACTGTTACCGACTACACTGACCGCGCCACCCGCGGTTTGCAGACCGATGGTAGCAAGGGTGTTGGCCAGGAGGCTTTCGACAAGACCCAGCGTGCCAGTGACAACCTCGGCCACGGCGGCACCACCAGTTCCATGTAGGTTACTCTGTTCTTGGAACAAAAGTATCATACTAACCATACCTCCAGTGGTGACAAGGTCAAGGGTGCTCTTGGTCTCGGCGGCAACTAAGCCCCTTAGCTGAGTGACCATTATCCTGGTCATTCCATGACTTCGGACAGCCTTGCCCTCAAAACCCCTCATGGGTTCACGATACCATCGGCGTTTTTTTTATTATATTTTTTTTATTTAGCCAGATAACTTAACTTGCTCTTTGAATTCATCACATTTTCAAGTGAAAAGAGATTCATTCATCTATCATTATTTAGACCAAACATTGTAGAAGGCCAAAGATGTAGAGAGCTAGCTTTAGTACCGCTCACCTATAGTGCCATTGAATCTCGCTGTCGCCTAAGCTGCCTAAGCTCACGCTCTAGTTCTTTATACTTTGCTTGTGCCCCTGGGGTATCCTTGGGAAGATCATGGAACGCCCTCACACGGCCTTGCAGGGCCTTGACCGTCTCCCGCATCCTGATAACGTTCTCCTCCTCCGCCATCAGCTCCTCAATAGTCGGCCCCCGGGGCTGAACTTTTTCTAGTGAGGCAATTCGATCTTGGTACTCCCCGACCTTGATTGCAAGTGTCTTTGTGCCGCGTGTCCACTCCGATGTCAAGCTTTGTGTATCGGAAGGTGTCTCATAGGCCACATCTGTCTTCAATTCCTCAAGCTCCGCCTGTAACCGTGCCAACTCTCTCTGGAGATACCGATGCAATGTGTCGACCTTTGCAATTTGTTCCTGGGCCTCGAACTCCTCCACTGTGAGCTCCACAATGGACTGCGCCAGATCCCCCGGGTTCGGATTTAAGGTATTGCCCAGAGCTGCGGCGGAGTCGGCGAGGTCCTCTAGATCGCGTCTTCCTTTGTCATCCAAGCACATTTCGACTTCATCAAGGAGTTGATTCTTCTGTTGTTCGTGGGGATCTTTGCGTTCGAACTCTTCCCGCCTTCTGTATGCATCAACAGCATCTTCGCGCGCACAATGTTGTAGAGTGGCTTCTTCGTCTGCAGCATCATTGGCTGCAGCTAGAGTTAGGAGGACGCGGAGGGTATCTTCATTACGCTCGAACTTGGGGACCGGTTTGGGCGCGTATTGTCGATTGAGCCAGGAGTTCACGTACGCCCAATCTTTAGCTTGGATAGCAGCTTGGCGGGCCTTCGCTGGTGAAACGAGTGGACTATCCATGAGATCAGGTAGCAATGAAATTCTAGAAATGAATGAATTGAAACAAATCAGGAGGGGAAAACAAATAGAGTAGTGTTGACGATAAGATACCGCGAAGGCGGTCGATGCGCCAAGTGCGAGGTTGTCCTCTACTTCCCCTCGCCGACTCTCTGGGTTGCTCGAACAACAATGACCAGCTACTTTCCAACAAGTGGCAGCGCCAGTAATGGCGTTAATACACCGACGCCATCGTCTCCATTGTCCCCGCCAACACAGCGCTCGACCGCCCTCACCAGTCGGTTGACAACGGTTCTGTCGGCATCGTACGCGGACTCGGACATTCGGGACTCTCTCGAGACTTTGAGCTTGAGAGGCATTCACAACACTGCAGAAACGCGTCGGCAACTACGACTAGATGTACAAAAAGAAGTTGTCGATTGCAATGCGGAGATTGTCAAGGACTTCGGGAAAGTGGCAGAGGTGAGACTCCTATTGCTCCTTTAGAGATTGGGACCCGGAAGTCTAATTCGAATGCCGATAACAGCAATTGAGACGGATTGGAACGGTTGTCTCAACACTTAACCAGACATGCGATGATATGCGCAAACGAATCAACCTTGCAAAGCAGGATACCACACCGGTACTCGAGGAAGCCAGCGCCCTGATGACACAGAAGAAAGAGACCGAGACTAAACAACAGCTGTTGGAAGCCTTTTCGAAACATTTCTTGGTTCCGGAAGAGGATCTATTGATTTTGACATCGGCCGAAGAGCCCGTTGACGAACGGTTCTTTGACGTGCTAGCTCGTGTCAAGCAAGTGCACCACGATTGCGAGGTCTTACTAGGCGGCGAAAATCAGCGACTGGGCTTGGAGGTAATGGAATTGAGCACCCGAAATCTCAATTCAGCATACCAGAAACTCTACCGATGGGTCCAGAAAGAATTCAGGTCCCTGAATCTGGAGGATCCTCGTATCAGTAGTACGATCCGCCGCGCTCTACGGGTGCTGGCAGAACGCCCGAGTCTATTCCACAGCTGTTTGGATTTCTTTGCGGAGGCACGGGACTATGTACTGTCCGATGCTTTCCACTATGCACTGACTGATGCTGTTTCGGGGGCCAATGGGCCCGGCGCCGGTGATCACACTGTCAAACCGATTGAGTTCTCAGCGCATGACCCACTTCGGTACATTGGTGACATGCTTGCATGGGTGCACTCGACAACTGTATCAGAACGAGAAGCCCTCGAGTCGTTATTTGTTGATGATGGGGACGAACTCGCTCGGGGGATTCAGGCCGGCCTGAATAGCGAGCCCTGGTCGCGCATCGATGAGGACCAGGAAGTGGCCTTTGATGGCCAAAAGGCACTCAGTGACTTGGTTAACCGCGACCTTACTGGAGTGTCTCGATCACTGCGACAGAGAATAGAGCTCGTCATTCAGAGCCATGAGGACCCTATTACTTGCTACAGGGTTGTGAGCTTGTTGTCTTTCTACCGCACAACCTTCACCAAACTAGTGGGCACACAATCGCACTTGGTTGATCTGATCCAAAGCTTGGAAAAGTTCACTCTTAGCCACTTTGAGGCTTTGATGCGCGACCAAATCAGCGCCTTGGCGGGCGACAATATTGCCCTGACTCCGCCAGACGACTTGTCACCCCCACAGTTCTTGTTAGATGCATTGGAAGGCCTGGAATTACTGATGAAGACATATGAGACTTCCGTCGGACCAGAAGATTCATCCCCAGACGCGAACAACGAGAACCCGTTCACTTCTGTCCTCCGGGCCGCTTTCGATCCATTCTTGACACTAGCCCGTTCCTCATCCGATGAACTCCAAACCACCACAGCGCAGTCCATTTACCGCACCAATATTCTCCTTGCAGCCCGCGCCGCTGTGTCACCATTCCCCTTCGCCAGCTCCACACACGTCCCTCCCATCTCTGCAGCCCTATCAACCCTACGCAGCGATCTTCTCGACACCCAACATCAATTCCTCCTCGAGTCCTCCGGACTCCGAACGCTCTTAGAGGCCCTAGAGCCTTTCTCTGATACCACGGAAGACAAGACCGAGAAGCCAGACCAGCAGAAACCACATCTAGCCGACCTGGCCAGTCTCTCGGCCTTCCAACCAGGGTCTTTGATTACATCCAGCCAACAACTCGATGACTTCCTCCCATCTGCACTTATGGACGCAACCGATAATCTGAAGCGTGTACAAAGCCTTTCCCTTATTCAGAGCGTCACCGAGGATGCGGTTGAGGCATTCTGCCGTGATTTCGAGTTCGTCGAAGGCATGATCATTGCCGCCGATGAGGCGCGAGGAACTGTGAATGTGGCCGTTGGAACCGGGACCAGCGTTAGTGGCCAGAGTGGTAAATCCGATGGTAAGATAGAAGTGAGCGAGAAGGATGAGGAGGGTGAATGGAGTTTGAGATCGTTGTTCCCTCGAACGACAGGGGAGATCCGAGTGTTGTTGAGTTGATATATTCCCTATTCCCTATACAAGTTGTACTGCACGCATATCTAAATGTACAATGAAAACCCCCACAGCTACACAGCCTCAGAACTCTAATTTAAAGGCGCTTTTAGCTTCGCGCTAGAAGTGCTGGGTTACGACATGCGGGACTGGGGACCCTATTATAACGCAGGCAGACGTCCAACTCCCATTTTTCAGTTTCATTGCATGTAAAATCATAAGGCTGCTGAGCCATAATTTGTGCCTATCTCTACTAGTTATAGCAAGAATAAGCTAGGATTCACTCGCCCACATCGCGGAAACAAACAAAAACGCGAATTACAGCTTCGTGAGTTGGTTTATACTACTGTAGTACGATCAAGTTGATGCATGAGTCTGGTCGTGATCTAAATCTACAACTAAAATATAGATCTAACACACATTTGGCAGGCAAGTCCAGATACCACAGAAAGATATGCTTAGACACAACATCCAAGTTAACAGGAAGAGGAATATCCCAGATAGATAAGGTTATGAAGGACAGATAAAAAAAGAAGAATAGATATTCCATTCCTATAATCGTATCGAACATACAAAGTCCCCATAGACAAGGAGGATAGAGGAACAACTCAAGAGGCAGTCAAATAGACACAGCAGAACCAAAAGAGTCCAAGATGAGTAAATCTAAATCTACTCTATCCGCCTCGCTCGCCAAATTCTCTCGCCCAATCTTCATATTTCCGGAGTCCGTCGTGGGATACACTAGGTCGAATGGAATATAAACTTGCCTCGAAGTCCTGGAAGGTAATGGCGCGGATCTGGTCCATCGGTGTGTGCAAGAGGGCCTCACCCAAATTGCGCAGGGGACCCATGGCTGCATCTTTGGCGAGGGCTGTTATGTCTGAGCCGGAGAAGCCTGGGAATATCAATTAGAAAGACGAACCAGACAGGACAAAAAAAAAAAAAGGGATACATACCTTCTGTCACCTGTACCAGGACCTGGATATCCGCATCGCTCATCTCGTGGTGTTGGTGACTGATAAGCTTTCGGATCTGCTGCTCGCGGACATGATGTTCGGGCAACGGGATGTACTGCCGACGGACGAAGCGACGACGCGCAGCCTCATCAATATCCCAAGGCATATTGGTAGCTGCTAAGACGAGTACACGACTAGCATCGCCTTCCTTCTTCTCGCGGCTTGTCTGTTCACGGCCTGCAGCTGCGCGCTGGAGGTCAGACCATTGAACGAGGAATTCAGTCTTGGAGCGACGGGAGGCCTCGTGCTCTGAGCCGGATGATCGCGCAGAGAGGAGGGAGTCGATCTCGTCGACGAAGATGATGGATGGGGCGAGGGCTTTGGCGAGCCCGAAGAGGGCGCGCACGAGCTTCTCGCTTTCGCCGTGCCATTTTGATGTTAGACTTGATGCGGAGATGGAGAAGAAGGTGGACTTTGATTCTGTGGCTACTGCTCGTGCGAGCATCGTTTTGCCTGTACCTGGGGGGCCGAACAGGAGCATTCCGCGGGCTGGTTCGCGGAGACCGGAGAAGAGGTCTGGACGGAGGAATGGATAGACGACTGCTTCTTTGAGGGCCTTTTTAGCTCCTTCTAAGCCTGCTATGTCATCCCAATGTACTTCGTCACCGCGTACTACGATGTCGTTTAGGATTTGCTTTGCTGACTGGGGATCTACGCCCCTGGGCAATTTCTCCATGATTTTCAAGTTTTCACTGTCTTCTTCCTCGTCTTCGTCCTCTGCATCGCTTGCTGTGGTCCGCTGATCTGAAGATTCTGGTTCGCTTGATAGTGGTGGAGTTGTTGTCTCTTGTCGTTTGACTGGTGGGGCTTTGCGCCGTATTGCACCATCACTATTCCCTTGAGAGATAGCCAGCCGGTCGACACTGCGATGGAAATCATCCCCGCTAGCAGATGATGGAGAAACGCGGGCCGTTTCGCCAATTTTGGGAGGTCTAGGAGCAGATGTTGTCCGCGGCTTATTGTTGGAAGAATTTACTTCACGGTCAAGCCGAGGCGTCAGACTCCGAGAAGAATTCTCAGACTTAGTAGCTTGCATTGGATGGCTTGTCGGCTGGGAAGATCGCAAGGCCACGGGCTTGGGTTTGATGGATGGTCTAGGTGGTGCAAAGTCCGCCGGGTTCGGCATGGACATTGAATGAGGATGTTGTAGTTTAGGGCTTTCAGGTAAAGGTGAAGGTCGAGGCCCCCGCGGCGGCGGCTGACTAGGGGACTGAGTCGGCGGTCTAGGCGAGGACCTCTTCGGAGACGAACGAGGAGGCTCTCGCCAATGGGCGGCAGGAATTTGGTCCGCGGATAGGTGGTCTCGGGAAACGCGAATTCTCGGCTGCGGAGGTTCATCCCCAGGAATAGATCTTGGTTTTGCCTCTCGGCGGAAGCTGGGATCGTGGGCAGCGCTTTGCCGGGATGAGGCCAGAGCCGCATCGCTCACAGGCTTCTCACCTGATGCAGAGCGATAGATGCTACCCCATGCTAGGCCTGCAGCCGTGGAGGCAGCAGGTCTCGAGTCCTTCTTCTTTGATGCAACCTTGACTTTCTTGCCATTCTTTTTGCCATCGCTGCTGCGCAAAGTTGTCAACATGGGTTTCCGGCGCTCGGGACTGGAGCCACGCGATCTCGTTTTGCCTGAAGAGTTTGAGTGCACACGCAGTGCAGGAGTTCCAACCGCTGACAGGGTCGCTGGTCCAGCCTCGTCGTAAACTGGCGGCGAGTCATGACTTTGTTTCGTTGGCAGCGCAGGGCGGCTGGGTATGGCAGCTGGTTTGGAAAGGTCGGTGTATCCCACGGCAGGGATTGTTCCATCTCCGATCCAGCCAGGAGTGTTAGAAGACGATGGCGGCGGTATTTTAGGAGTTGGTCTGCCCTTGACAAGGGTAGCGCTCTCTTTACTGCCATTTGCCTCTGCAGATTCTTTCCTGCTTGCTTGGAGGGCGCCTAGTAGATCGACCCGTTCTCGGCATTGAATCTCTAGCGCCCGGATGGAGTCCTGCAGGGCTCTTTCGGTTTCAGATTTCGGGGTATAGTTCGACGGTACACGACGAGCATTGTGATGATAGATAGTCTCAAGGGCAGTTCTCCAGGACCGCAATGCTTCCTCTTCGTTGTTCTAATAGAGTGAGCCTCAGGGAACTACTGTCGAACTAGTCCACGGGTGGACTTACCTGGCCCTCAAAGTACACAGCGGTGGAGCACGCGAGATAGCACTCGTCGTACGTCTTCTGCAAGGAAGACGCAGGCCGTGGGCGGATCATTAGGAATATACAGGCCCGCCTGCATCCATTTCACGACAAGTTGGTGGAGTTGGTGAAAGCGATGATCTCCCGCAGGTGGAGGGGGGAGGATTTTTCGCGTGACGTCGTCGATTCGGGAGTTACTGCATGCGTCCAGTTGAACTACATAAACTTATGTATTTATGTAGTAGCAATTTATATATATATCAATTAAAATGGTAACCTCAGATATCATCTCTAAATTTCCTCACGTCTATGGGTACATGCAAGATACTAAAAAAGAAAACATAAGTTATAGTGATGCCACAGAGAACCCAGCCCTCTCTCCAAAAAATCAAAATCAAAATCAAAACCAAGAGGTTTCTCCAACGCCGGTCACAGTATAGGACACATCGAATGGAAGAGAGCATCGAAGAATCCAACAATAAGAAGAAGAAAAAAATACAAGCACCAGATTTAACCTCCGAAATCGAAAGTGGCCGTGTCCCGTTTCCCCAAAACTATACATTGCCGAAACGCTTTTCATAAAAAGCCCTAAAACATGCAAAGAAGATCGAAACACGAGCTCTGCTGGCTCGAGATGCGCCACAATGGGAGTTCTTGGGCTCCGCCCAACCCCCAAATCCAGAACATATCGTAAAAGAACAGACCAATGTCGCCCGAAGATATCAAAGAAAGATTATATGGTGCCCACACAAACGTGGTATATCGAACAAATAGCAGGTCCATCGGGAATGGTGGATGGGACCCATGGCGAGCAGCCGTGCAAGAGGATCAGGGATTCTTTTAGTCGAGGTGCTTCTTGAAGTATGCCTTGGCCATCTCATATGATGTCCTGGAAAAAAAAAAGTCAGTAAATGTTCAATCAAACGTTGAGAGAAACCGAGTCTCGGAATGGTACGTACCAGCAAATTGCAGTGCTCGGCATAGTGGAAATAATTCGAGGGCGCATGCCACGCAGGAAGCCAGACCAACCAAACCGGCGCTTGATGATGGCAGCGGCGTTGAACAGACCCTTTGCAGACCGCACCTCCTCGCTCTCTGCGAGGCCACGGGTCTGAAGGAGCGTCTTCACGACGTCAAGGGGAGTGGTAAGACCAGCTGCGAAGGCACCGGCCAGACCACCTGCGATGCAGTGGGTGAATGGGTCGTAATCATTCTTGGGGTTCATGACCTTCGAGATCGACTCGTAGGCAACGAATTGAGTGGCCGTGAAGGGCACGGTCATGCAAAGTGTGGTAGGGTAGGAGACGTAGAAGGCCTGAAGACCTTCGGTGCGGTAGACGGTCTTGGCGCATTGCGCCAGGGTCTTGTGAACTGAGCCGTGAACCTGCATACGTTGCTTCATGACTAGAGAATGGATTAGCGGGGCGTGATTTTATTACCTCACACGGGTCACTTACCATCAAATGGGTTCATCAGCGCATCGCTGGCAATGGTAGCGGCCGCTCCACTCATAGCTGCACGGTAATCAGGTCAGTTGTTGCACAAAAAAAAAAAAATCAATTCAACAATTGTCCGAAAATCTTACCGGCAGCCAAGGGGTGATGTCCATCATCGACATTACCACCAGCCATTTCCTTCACGATCTCATATGTACCGAAGTAGACCGCGTGGGCGGGACCTATCGTCGCGAATCAGAATTGAGTCTTCAGCTCAGGACTTTCCACGATATACACACCTGCGCCGACAATCACACTCGAGACTCCCTTCCATAGTGTCCGCCAGCCCTCAACTCGATAGATTGTAGAGACAGCGTTGGTCAATCCGGTGTAGAGACCACCAGTTGAAGGAGTCAGGATTTGCATGCGAGTCTAGCGACGGCCAAATAGTCAGCGCTCAATCCTTTCCCCCCTAGTTTCAACGCCTTCAACCAGAAGTCAAGCTTACCTTGAGCAAGTCAACAGGGTACATCACCGAGTGCTCCTTTTATTTTGATCAGCCAAAAATCCTCAAACATCCCCAATAATCATGTAAACATACTGCTATCCCCGCGAAAGCACCAGCTAGCATATTCCGGCCGAGGCCATAGTTGGAAGGAAGGGCTTCGTAGCTAAAATAGAACGTATCGCATTAGTTTCAGCCACAAAATCGGATTCCGCAGAGCGACAACAGGGCGAACAAGAAAGTCAGGACGCTCAACAGGGATAATCAAGCAATAGCTGGAGTATATTATATCACCAGAATAGAAGATGCGTTGGTCCCTGTGTTCATTCCAGCGATCCCGATGCCCGATTGCCTGGGAGGGGGAAAAAATCCATTGGAGAGCGACATACTCGAATTCCTGCCCGGGGATTTGATCGGAAGCCGCCATGGAGCTTCCGCTAGCTCAAGGCGCAGCTGTAGCAGATGAAGAGTTCGAGCGGAGAGGAAGGGAGGTGGTTTGCTGTGGCGGAGGTGGAGGAATGGAAAAGATGAAGATGAGATAAACGGGGATTGGATGGGAGGTCCCGCGGAGACACAAGCACAAGACCAACAAAAGTGTAAAAGGACAAAAAGCCAACAAATTAGGGGAACAAAGGAAGAAATGAAGAGTAGAAGAAGAAGCAAAAAAAAAAAGGAAAAGATGAATCCTTTTCTTTCTTTTTAAACGGAACAACCTGGAGAGGAAATATTGGAAATTTAGGTGTTTTGGAGCGGAAAACGGCGCTAGGGAAATTATTCACGGACTTGCCAGGTTGGTTATTATGGATTCTATCTACTATGTACGGAGTTAACTCTTATTATTTCTATTCTTTTGACTATTAGAGACTATTTTTTTACATATTCTCCTTACTTCAATCCCTTTAAAAGTACTTTGTAGGCCCTGGAGAATGTGTACATGCTTATTCAGATTCGGCGGCCAGACCCTCGTTCATGCCTCGGAACTACGACTCGAACAAGATAATATGAAAGGCCGAACTACATAGATGTAACTTGTAGCTTGTACTCCGTACTCGGTGTAGCGGAATAATGACACATGCATATACCGTCAATCACTGTACGAATACCAATACACAGTAAAATATCTCCGAAACATCCGATGACGGAGTTTAGCTCGTCCCCAACATTGAACACACCTTGACTTTTTATGTAAAGTACCATACCAGTACCTTTACAGTGTAGAAACCACAGTACAGGTACATAGCTGGTACCTGATTTTATCAATCTGATAAGACCCCCTAATAAGCCATCGTTCGCCCTTGACCACATTTCGCCTAACTCATCTTATTATTGAGTGGAGCTTTCGGCTTCCAGGTCTTCCAGAAGGGGAGGGGTGTGTTTTCTAGAAATACTCACGCAAACATCTCCTTTATACTCCGTAGATGGGTGTATATTGTTTATATTACATCTCATATCCATCATTAACTTCCAAGACTTGATTCTCATGTCAAACTTGGGAGGCGAAGCAGAAAGCAGACCACACGGTTTTTCACCGGGACATGCCGAGCCCCGGTGGAACTACAAGCCGCGAACTAAACTCATCTGGTCTATATTGGTTTGGATTCTGCGAGGGCCCCTTGTTTCTTTGGGGAAAATCTTACACTCCTATATGTTGTATATCAATTTGAGCTTCATACCCTTATAGCCACTCTATATTATATAGAAGCGTACATAGGCAGAGTCTCTGTTCTTCTTCCACTCACTACGCAGGAAGGATGCATTGAATAGGATGACTTCACTGCTATCTGCCTGTTATATCATCTGGAAATAATCAATTCTGTTGAGAAAAAGCCGCTGCGCCTGAACTCAAAGCAATGAAAAATAGAATACGGAATCTGTGATGAAAGCACACACCAAAAGAAAAGCCCTCATCAAATGAGGATACATGCACGCAATTCGACGTAATTTGAGGAAGCGGGAAAACAAAATAAAAAAAATAAAAAAAATAGTCCCGTGTCAGCCCTGGCGATGAATGGATACGACCTTTGTTGCTGCGAAATCAGTGCAAGGGTGATGATCTTAATGGCTGAAGAGTTGGGACGGTAGAGGAAAAGGAAAAGGTATGCTGGAACTTCTTGTAAAGAAGTAGATGTCGTTCACGTCGTCAAGATCTCGTCCGTGGTCTACGGCGAGCGGGGGTTAGGGTGAGGGGCGATTTACCACTCAATGTTAAACGACCACTCTCCTAGAAAGCATGTGTTAGCAATATAGGGAAAAACACATGTGAAATCCCCACTTACCATTCTTCAGGTTCTCAGCAGTGTCACTCAATAGAATCACCCGGCGCTTGTTGCAATAAGCAGTCTTGTCCAGAATATCAACCTTGAGTCCTGCCAGTTCGGCAACTGGCTTTTCGAACATCTCACTGAGACTCTCAACAGCCATCTCCAGATCCTTCTGGTTATCCTCAAAAATCTCAGTCAGATTGTTGCGAGCAAGGTAAAATGCAAATGCGTAAGTCCACTTCAAGGTCTGGCGGCACTGCTGCAGGGCCTGCGACGCGGTGTCTAGGAACTGCACCTCAATCCAGGATAGACCAGACTGTGACTGAAGGCTAGTCATCTTCTTCTCGGTCTTCAGGTACAAATCCTTGTCGAGTTTGGCAGACTGCTCGTGGTTTGCATACCGATTATAGTAATGCAGGTAGCGCTCCAGGGAGGAACGCGATTTAGCTTGAGCAGTGCGCGCGTCTGCGCCTGACTTTTCTTCGTACCGGTTGCAATTATACCAGCTCGTGCCATGCTCGGACCAGAGGCCCATACACATCCAGCAGAACTCGTACTTGCACTTGCGGCAAGTCATATGGTTACAGCCGCCGTTCTTCTCGATCGTCGAGTTACACTTGGTACACTCTTTGGTGTTTGCCGAGATCCAGTTAGCCGTCTCGGAGTCATCTTCACATTTCTGTAACCACATTTTGACCAGCGTGCATGGCGCGGGCTGGTGGTCGCTGAGGGAACAGCCGAAGCAGAACTCGTGCTTGCAAAAACATCGCACTGTTGGAACTATCCGACGGAGATCACGATTCTTTACCCCACAGTCAATGGCGTATTGACAGTTTGGTGCTGGACACCATTTTAGGTTTTCTTTATCGTCGACGTAGGTTCGAGTTAATAGTTCACGATACCTGTAGTGAGACATGTGTTAGCGAACTCTCGCTTCCATCTAAAAGCAGCCTGCAGAATAAAACACCCACCTTCCTTGAAGCTCCTTTGTCACGAGCAGATCCAGCGACTTGGAGTCCACGACGCGATTACAGCCATCGCCTGGACACTGAATTCGAGCAGCCTCTCCTTCCTCCTTAATTTTCTGTCCCAAGTAGTGCCGATAGCAGTCAACACAATATCGGTGACCACAGCGCATGGCGTACGTCTCGAGGTCATCCCCGTCCTCGCAGCATATGTCACACATGAAGCCCGGGACGCGCTCGGTCTTCGCGGTTCCCTCAAAATTCGACCCAAGACCAGCCTCCTCCAGCGTCTCCCCCGGATGCTCCATATATGACTCGATCAACTTTTCTTTGTTCCACCGCCCGAACCGCAACAAGATCGCCACCGACTCAGGCGGTAGCCCAAGGATGGCGCAAACCTCGTTGACTTGGCCAAGCTGTTCATGATCGATATCTGGAGGGTCGAGAACCTTGAACTCGACTTCGTATGGCTTCTTTTTATGTTTGATGAGGTCTTTATCGTCCGAAAACCCGGCGTCGAGATCATCGAACTCTGCTTCCCAGGGCACAACTTGTTAGTCACCATACCCTAGACGTAGACAGACACACAAAAATAAAAAAAAAGGCAAATATCAGACGGACACACGCACCTTCACCCAAGCTCTCGTCATCAGAACCCTGGGTACCCAAGAAATCATCCTGGCTAGAGACGTCGCTCATGAACTCATCGTCAGAGTCCATACTGGCGGTGGTGGGCGTCGCGGAGAGCCTTTTTTTTGAACCGGAACTGACGGGACTTTCCCTCTCTGTGGGTTCTATTGCGGTTGTAGACTCGCTTTGGTGGGAGCGCGGATCGGACACAGAAGTGGATTTCCGGGAGCCGTGGGCGGCTTTTGGCAGTGCCTCGTCCGCAATCGCCTCAGCCGCCTTTCTCTTTCGCGTTATTGGAGGCGTGGTGAACGTAACGGCAAAGATGCCGGCAAGGGGGATGTGGGAGATCGGGCCAGACGTCACTGGGTAAAACCTGTGACGGGCACGGATAGAGGGGAGTGGGGAAGCGTAAGACCTCCGGGCAGTTGGCCCCGAAGGCAGCTCAAACCGGTGTTCGAAGGAGTTAGGATTTTCGACTTCGAGATACTCTAAGAGTGTAGTTAGAGTATTATTTTGTGTCTCTCTAATTCTATTGTAATTTGAAAACAAAACAGAAGTCCTCGGAGAAGCAAATATTTCAAAAGATTGGTCAGCTGATGGATCTCCGTAGCCTCTTTCAGCCCATTGACTCAGATATGAATCATTCCAGTGCCCTAGCCTCGTTTGCCTGCGGAGTATTTAGGCTTCCATGGACTACGGAGTATAAGGAATTATGTTAGGTTTTCAAAGAAGATCCCCTAATAGTCAATCCTGAAGTGTCGTGAAACTCTAAAGAGTATACTCTACAACGTTGTATACATACAAGAAGCTACTAGTTAGTTATGTAAAAGGAACCTTGAACGTCATATTGGAATTTTAATAAAAACACATGGTATCTACTCATCATCACTCTCCTCCTCGGATTCTTCTTCGCTACTCTCCTCCTCTGCCTCGGCGAGCCAATCAACAAATTGCTGGGTCTGGCTGCGGACAGTCCGCATTTCCTCGGAGTTACTAGAACGCTCATCGTTCCACCACTGGTCGTAAGCCTCCTCCTCGATAAGGTCAAGTTCATATAGAGACTTGGCAGTAAAGAGAAGGACAGTATCACCCTTGTTGCGATGGATGAGATCCTGCTGGAGTGAGAGCAGTAGATCCACCTGGTCCTTCTTCTGTTCCTTGTTGCGGTCGAATAGAGTGCGCTCAACCACCTCCTTGTATGCTGTGAAAACCTCATTGACTGCTGGACCGGCACCCTTGCCGCCCTCCATGAGCTGCTGGATGTGCTTCATGAACGATGTCACGATAGCGCGACGGACCTGGTTGTCCGAGGCGTTTGCGCTCATGCGCAGCGTGACCAGCTCGAGCTGCACGACGTCTGCTGCCACGCCTTCACGTAGACTGTCGAACAAGCTGACTGATGCGTCGTGGTGGAAGTTGTCTGCATCCTCGTCTGCGGAGAAACTGCTCCGCTCAGATCGTGCCCAAGAGGTATTAGAGACTTCAGATGAGAGTGTTGAAATGGAGGCGGAAGAGAGTGAGAGATTGGGCATGCGGTACACTGTAGATGGCATAAAGTTAGTATTCTGAACCAGAGGAGACACACTCGGAAACAACATACCAAGTCCCGATGAGGCTACACTCATGTCGTCATCTTCATCTTCATCTTCCTCGCCGTGAATGAACTCATAGCCTTCGCCTTCTTCGCCAACGACTGCGGGATCGTTCTTGCCCACGCCACCGTCGTTCCGAGTTTTCGTGATACGCTTCCCGCTCTCCACCCCGATGTTGTCAGCGATTTTCACACCATAGGAGAGGAGCGCTCCCGCGGCAACGGCACAATTTTTGCCAATAACCACGCCATCGGCGATAATCGCCCCACGGACATCTGTGTTATCGCCGATCACGACATCGTCCCAAATATAGGCACCATCCAGTTTGACATTGCGGCCAATTTTACAGTTTCGACCAAGCACGGAGTTGTGGACTTCTGCCCGGTCTCCAATGCTAGTGCCTTTTCCGATAACTGTGCGGCGCCCAATGACGCAAGAGCGTGCCAGGGTCACCCCAGTTTCTTGGTACATGCTTCCCTTGCGAAGTGTGTACGTGTGACCAGGGAGCAAGTTCGTATCCGGGCACAAGGGGTATGTCCAGCGCGAGAGAATATCCTTGCTTATCGCGTCGTAGGCCTTCAGGTTACGCACGCGCGCAGCGTAGTGGTCCTTGATGATGTATGTATGTAGAGTCTTGCCATTCAACTCATAGTCCTTCAAAACACCGAACAGATAGTGTTTCCGAGGCGATTGGTAATCGAAACTATCTGACCATAAGCTCAGTACGTCCGGGGTGCAGATATCGATGCTGCAGTCGATCAAGTCTTGGCGGATATCCAGTTCGGGGTTTTTAAGAATAATTTCGGCGTCAATATTCAGACGAGATAACTGCTCGTCGTCTGGATGGCGATCAATTTCCTCATAATGGAGGCAGCGGTCCTTGGTAGGATCAATGACGAAAATCGGGGAAACTGAGGTGGACTTGGTCCTGTGCTGCAGGCCAGCCTCTCTTAGAACCATGGTCATGATCGCATTTTTGTCAAGTGCTCGGCGGGCCCTGTGCTCCGCCAATGCGCCCTCGATGGGCAGGTTGCTGATCACGTCGCCGCTCACGACAATGAAGTCTCCTGTGATAAGGTGCTTGCCGTCCAGATCGCGCATAACGTCACCGACGGAGGTGGAAGTCGACTTAAGGAAGGTAAATTGCTTGAATGGTGAAGACAGTGCCCTCCATTTTGATGCACTAGCAATATAGGTCAGCTCTGCCATCCATATCAGAGGGAGTCGCTAGGACAAGCCTACTTGATGTATTTCTCCAGCTGATCTGAGTGCGCTCCTGCGTAGAGGAAGACCTCCTCTACGCCTGCATTGGCCAGAAATTCGAGGGTGTATTCGATCAAGGGCGTATTTGCGAGCGGCAGAAGGCACTGTAATAATTTCGTTTGTCAATTTCGGCGTTTTGGGACATGAATATTTTGCGGTAGGGACATACACGAGGCTTGTCGCGGGTGAACGGCTCGAATCTTGTCTCGAAGGTATCTGCGAGCACCTAAGCAAAGGCACAAGTCAGCAAACATACATATCACAGAAAGGACTTTGGCAGGAACTGTCACGCAACCATTTGCCAACTGCTAGACCTACCACAGCTTGAAATGTCTCTTCCACGTCCTCCGCCGCGTTGGGCTTCGGCTTTTGCCCAGCTTTTTGCTTGGGGGCCATTTCTGCAAGGAGTGTTAGCAACGAATTCTTTATAGTTCTAGAGAGTCGCAAGAACTAGTTCTCGTGAAGCGCCGGTGGGAAAGCGGTAGGGCTATTTTACCTTGAATGTGTCAATAACGCGTTAAGCCCAATGTTGGTGAAAGTAAACTGAGAGAGGTCAGGATAGATCCTCAGATACTTTCTCCAGAAATAGCACCAAAGAAACGCGCGATCTTGTTATCAAAGAAGAGCACAAAAAAGCCTCGGAGTCATCCCGCCCACTTGTTTGCATCGTTTGCACTTTAATCCGATCAGTCTTCGTTGCCTGAGGCAGAAGTTCCCCAATAGGTTTAGTCTAGATCCTATGGATCGCTCATTCACTAGAATATCTTGAACGAATGAATGTAATGTTCACTATTGACGGTGTGATTCATTTAAATGCATGTATTTATGTATTGATTATGGAGTAAAACAGTAGCAGTCCCATACCGACCAAGCCGACACAGATCCTGATGCGTACATGTACTACATATTGATGGGCATAATTCCTACAACACTCGCTCCTCTTTTTAAACCCCCTGACACTAATATAAGAGGATTCTAAACCATATTATTGTGTAACATTTTGCTGTTAGACCTCTAGAAGAAATACACCAGTCTTGCAATCTTACCCTTTTGTCAAGCCATGGCCCGACACCGGCAAATAGTCAGTCACCCTTTCTGTGTTCACTAGCAAGTCATTCACAAACCACTCGAGACCAGCAGTGTACATTATCCACGGCGGCGGCCAAATAGCCGGGGACCGATTCAGCGCGATAGACAGCCTAATCCGCTTATTTGAAGGTATTGATTTTGTCATACTATCTGTTGAATACCGTCTGGCCCTAGAGCATCCAGCCCCGGCGGCTTTGAACGACAGCTATGCAGGGCTAGTCTGGGTAGCGGACCACGCAGCCGAACTTGGGATTGACCCTGCACAAATCATGATTCTGGGCGGCTCTGGTGGCGGTCCCATCGCAGCAGGATGCTCCTTGCTTGAACGACAAAACCAGCACCCAACGCTAAACCTGCTTGCACAAATGTTGATTACGCCTATGCTGGATGACCAAGGTCAGACATTGTCGGCGAAGCAGTTTGAGCATGTTGGACCGTGGTGTGCGGCTACCAACCAGATGGCATGAGACTATTTCCTCGGACAGGGCAGACCGACACAAGTTGATTACATGGTTGCATCTGCGCGTGCGACGGAACTGACGGGGTTACCGCCGACGTTATTGATATGGAAGAGGCGGAGTTGTTTCGGGATGAGGCGGTTGCGTAAGTGTCGCTCTTGTCGAAGTGTGGAGTCTCTACCGAGCTTCACGTCTGGAGGGGGGCATTTCATGGTTTCGAGATGCGGATGCCTGGTGTACTGGAGGATAGCTAAGCTGCAGTAGCGAGAGTCTCGATTGCTGCAAAGAACTCATGGATCAGGATAGTTTTCACAGTGGATGAGTAGATACTAGTGAAATTAGGATATGTTTGCAGCACGGTTGCATGAAGATAAACGACGGCCCGGTAACCGGATTTGTTAGAAAGATATAGAACATGTATGCACATTTCTGTCACTGGATATCATGTCTAATGAATTGATCCATGTGCAACCCATATTCAAATTCATTCTGGTAGGCGCCAGGTATAGTTGTGAGTCCGTCTATCAAAAATGGGTATCACACGTAAACGATGTTGCCTGCGTGATATCACCACCAACATATCGAGCTACCAGCGGCCACTGACAAAGCTCTCTCCTCATCAACGTAGACTGGGTAACCGGATCCTTCCACTCCGCCCTCAGCGTTTCTGGCGCCTTTCCCTCTTCCACCCACGCAATCAAGCTCTCCAGGACGTCTTGTGGATATGGGGCACTGGAACTCGACGCCTGGCAGTGCGCCACTCCAGGAGCCTCGAAATAGCGATAAAACTCTGCAGCTGAGGGATCCCGTTCCAGTACCTTTTGGTAATAGTCCGATGTTCCGTTGGCGAAGATAGCTTCATCAGCCAGTCCATGCCATGTGATCATTTTACCACCGGCAGCGCGGAATCCAGACAGGTCTGAGTCCGCGGTCCCGATAATGTGGTCATATTTGGCTTTGGACTCGTCAAAGAGGGCGTCGTACTGTTCAAAGGAGAGTGTGGTAAGATCGAAGTCGCGATCGTTGAGTACAAAAAGGCGCAGCCATTCCTCAGATATATTAGAGGGGAGGCCACTGCAGCGCTTCACACCCTTGTGAGTATTACATTCCACCCGTGGGAGAAGCGAGAAGCTCGCGTCATAATTCAACCCGTACCATCTCTGGAATTGATCAAGCCCAACAGGCCCCTTCCAAATCTGGTACGCTAGAATAGCAGCCTCCTTTGTGATCGTGCGCAGAACACCATTACAGTCATATGGCTGTCCAACTACCGAGAGTGGATCGAACTCGCATGCAGCTGGGGCTGAGAGAACCCGATCCTTGACACCGTCAAGGCCATCGCAGGCTTGGATAGCTGCATCTCGGAGGGCATTAAACTCGCAGAGTTCCGGGTAGACGTTCATCTGATTCATCAAGAGCTGTGGCCAAAATCCGGCGGGGATAAAGGATGCCCAGTTAATGGCCGGAGCTGCCGCCACGATTCCATCGAAGTCATCTGGAAATCGTTGCGCGACCATGAGGCCCTGTCTGCCACCGGTTGAGCAGCCGTTCCAGTATGAGTACGTAGGTGGTTTACCGTAGAACGAGGTCGTGATGGATTTGCCAATTACGGCTAGTTCGTGTAGGGCGAGGGATGCGAAGTCTTCCAGCAGATGGAGGTTCACCGAGCCATCTAGATTCAACGCCCACTCATCAGGACGACTATCGGCAGCATGGCCACCGTCGGTTGTACTGACAGCGTACCCCTGGGAGGCTCGAATGGCAAGTCCCTGAGTAGAGCCAGTCACCCATCCTCCGCCACCGGATGCTTGAAATCTCCCATTCCAACCAGATAGCGGGAGCCAGGTCTCGATGTGGATCGTATCATTCCATTTGGGATGGGTATAGGTAACGGTCAAGTTACAGACGTCGAGGCCTGCGATATCCAGAGGATCTGTATCCCAAAGTTCCCCAGTCGAGGTTGAATAACTGCGGACTTGCGCTACAGTCATTCCCAGGATCTCCGCCCCCTGCAGCTCAGGAACAGCAATTGCCCCGCGCGAGCAGACTTGAGTCAAAGACATGGGCATCATGGGCCCTAATGTGTCAAAGTTCCAAATATCCATAATAAGCCCGCAATTTTCTCGATACAATCATGAATACCTCTTAGCATTCAAGTATTGTGCATCCTAAGCCCGATTCATTTACAACATACGGTCTCGGATAGGTGTGTAACAGGTTGGACGCACTTCATTCCGGCTGCCGAAAAATACAGTATAATGACTAGACGAAATACATATTCCGGGACTTTTGGTAGTGACCCTTGCTTCCATGGTGATCTGAAAAGTGGACATCGCCCGCTCTTCGGGGGCGGGTCCCGACCTCGGGAGGCCCTTTGGGTGTTGACTCAGCGCTACTATATAAGTCATTGAGTTTAACCGGACAATGTCGTCTATCTCGCTGTCCGAATAAATTCTTGCCCTGCAGTTTTATTCCCCACAGCCTATGGAGATAGACCCCGGTCCGGCGCCGGACATCAAAACAACTGGAAAGAAAGAGAGAGCTAAACAAGCAGACGTAGAGAATCAAACGCGAGACAGACAAGGATCGATTAATTCAGATCCTGGCCGATGTCCAGAAAATCCAACAGCAGACGGACAGCCTCCAGGAAACTATGGCTATGGTCCTGGATGGGATGAGCACTCTGCACGATACACATCCCAGCGCCCATCCTTCCCTATCCTCTTCAGTGTCCGTGCTGGTGGATATATTCACCCTGGAAGATAGCAGGATTGCAGATACGAGAGGAGACCTGAGCTCCAGCTCTAGTCCCAGCGGCCTGACCTCAAATCTGGTCCACGGCGGATAAGCATCCCTAAAGCTGTATGGGACACGGATCGAAGGCTCTTAGCGGTGGATTGCAGCGTGGGATTGCAGCGTGGTATCAAGGGAGCTCAATCATTCGCCTGTCACAATAGGCTGTCTGCCTGAAAATATCCATTCTTGTGCTACATATTCTCAGGATAGCGCGCAATTGGCTGCTCTGGCGTTGCATCCGTCAGAAACGGGGATAGATCAAACGACGCTTGACGCCCATCACCAAACCCGGGAATTATCTAATAGAGATGCCATCTCCACAGATGGTTCAAAAGCTCCTACTACTGTCCATATACACATAGACACTTCCCCACCGACCATATTCAAGTATCGAGGTGTAGCGGTCCCATCCTGTCTGTCAACCAAGGGTGCATTCCTCGTATGCAGAAACCCTCCAGGACGTACCGGAATGGCTTCGGCCGACTGAAATACAAAATAACATGCCTCACTAAATCTTTGCCGACTTTATGCCATTCCCTCAGTTGCGCAACGCCATGGTTCCGGGCTCATTTGAGTATACTCGAGAAGAGTTTGATATTGACTACGGCCGTTCTGTTTCGATTAATTGGCCCAGCTTCACACCTTTGCTGGTTAGAAACGATTCCTTGGACGTGGTTCTAAACCCGGAGTTTGAACCACATGCTCTCAACTACAGTAACTGGTCGCTCAATGAGGAATTTGCGCTCAAGTATCCGCACATGGCTACGATGGCCACAATTAGATCATAACCTGCATGGTGCAACGTGTAGGCTAACTATAGTTAACAAGCTACTTTACGGAGTGACCGATGGACGATACTGTATAGTTGGTATATGTAGATAATGATAGGCACTGTGGAACTTGGAGAATGTTGAATGTGTAGGCTAGAATTGTAAAACAACCGGCCACAAGAATAGTTGGCCGTTTATACAGCCTTGTAGTGTATTTTTTAAGTATGTGTATAAAGGCGGCAAAAAAGCATACTCTATACAAAAGACCTTTCTCTATATGACATTTGATCTATATATGTAAAGTCCAAAATATCTTCTATTCACAATTCCCTTTATTGACGTACAGCTCTTTCCGCTAGAATATTATATACTGGCAAGCACACCTGATATATTCATCTTTTATTTTTAATGTTTTTTTGCTTTCTTACATGTGAGGATCTTTTTGTAACGAATGCAGGAATGAACTTAACGGAGGAGGTATCAAATAACTAAAACGAAACAAAAACGAAATGCCAAAACCAGAGCCGAAATATGCTAATCCAAGAACATGAACACGAGGCATCAAACAAGGCAATACCTTACACAGGACATGTCTCTATACAGTGAAGTGCAAAAGACGAAATCAAACAGGCGGCTCAACTGTCTGCAGCGGAACATAACCCTCATCACCCCAACCAGCCGGCATAGGTCCCTTGCCAGTGACCAGTGACCAAAGCGAAGAGAGAACGTTCTCAACACGACGACGCAGAGAGCGTGGGCTATCCGACAAAATTTTTGTAGAAGCCCACCAGCTCATTTTACGAGCATTACCGCGACGTGCCACACCAGCCGGAGAGATCGCACCCGAGCGAAGCTCCTTTTCAAGACGTTCAACCTTCATCCAAGACGGGCGACGCCAGAACTTCAATAGCAGACTGCTAACAACAACGGAGACACTGGAAAGAGCCATGGCACCACCGGCGGCCATAGGTGGTAGTATGAAGCCCGTGAAGGGTAGAAAAAGGCCCATGGCAAATGGAAGGCCGATGACATTGTACATGCAAGCCCAGATCAAGTTCAACTTGATGCGTTTGAAGACCGAGCGCGACAGGGAGAGACTGGCTGGTACAGAGAGTAGATCGTCCGGGCGCATGAGGACGATATCGGCGGCCTCGACCGCTACGTCTGTGCCGGATGCGAGGGCGATTCCAACGGACGCTGTGGCCAGCGCGGGGGAGTCGTTGATGCCGTCGCCGACCATGGCGACGCGCTCGCCTTCTGCTTGGAGGGCGGAGACAATTGAGCGTTTCTCGGATGGGGAGACGGAAGCACTGATTGAAGCAGTTGGGATGCCGACTGTCGTGGCGATTGATATCGCTGTTGAAAGCGTGTCGCCTGTTACCATGGAGGTTGAGATGCCCATGCGATGCAGGGCCGCTACTGCCGCCACTGCTGTCTCTTTCACTGTGTCTCGGAGGGAGATGGTTCCGGCGTAGCGGTTGTCGATTGCGACGTGGATGTGTGTAATCCCGGCTGCGGTGGCACCAGGCTTGGGAACGTCAGCTTCCGGGTCTTCGACAGGTTCCGCAGAGTCGGGATCTGCATCGGCAGGTACAGGGACGTCTTTGGACCGAAGGAAGTTAGCATTGCCAAGGAGGACGTGGTGTCGGATACGTTGGCCACTAGATGTGGGTTCGACGATGGCAGAAACACCCTTGCCAACACAGTTTTCTACGTCACCCGTGCTTCCTGGTAGCCCATCTTCTCCGGGATGACCTGATTCAGTTATGGCCGCAGAGAAGATCGCTCTTCCAATTGGGTGTTCACTGCCTGTCTCTGCGAGACCGACAATAAGCCACCAGAGCTGACGGCGCCAGTCGTTCATTGTCCATTGTGGTTCAATTCGGGTGTGAGCCACGCTCATCTGACCTGTAGTTAAGGTGCCGGTCTTATCAAAGACAACATGAGTCACTTTAGTGGCAGCTTCTAGCACGGCACCTCCCTTAACGAGGATGCCATGCTCCGCGCCGACGCCAGTGCCAACCATGACTGCGGTCGGGGTGCTTAGACCTAGAGCACAGGGGCACGCAAAGACAATGACTGAGATGCACAGTTTCAAGCAGACCATGACTCGGCCACCACTGCCTGCCATTTCAAAGATTGTGGGCGGATGAGGCAGTACATGACTGAGGAACATCCAACCAAAGAATGTGATCAAACCAAGACCGATGATGGTGGGGACAAAGTAACCAGCAACGATATCAGCCATGCGCTGAATCGGAGCACGGCTCGTCTGCGCGTCCTGTACCAACTTTACAATCTGGCTCAACTGGGTATCCTTACCGGCTCGAATGACTTTGAAATCAATGGAGTTTGTGCCATTCACAGTCCCAGCAATGATTTGACTGCCTTTCTTTTTGTGAATAGGTAGTGCCTCTCCACTGATCATACTCTCGTCAACATAGCTTTCGCCCCGGATGACCACACCGTCCGCAGACACCTTATCTCCGGGGTGAAGGATAACAACATCGCCGACTTGAATCAGCTCGGTGGGAATGCAGTTTTGGTTCACCGTCATGTCTTCAGCCACCACGGGTTGTTCAGTTGCGCCAGACGTAGGTTTAGAGCTCCAGCGCTCAGCCAGTTTCTCTGCTGCAATGGGATCTTCGTAGATAGTCGTCATAGATGGAGTCAGACACATGAGCCTAGAAAGAGCAGCGGAGGTTTGACCCTTGGCTCCGTTCTCTAGCCACCTTCCCAAAGTAATAAATGTGATGAGCATCGTACTAGTGTCGAACACGGTGCTAGGACGCCTGTGGTCCATACTGCAAAGGGCCATGATCATGGTGAAACAGCTATAAAAGAAGGCAGCGGACGTGCCCAACATGACGAGAACGTCCATAGTTGGGGATCGATGCTTGAGGGACTTGAAGCTGGTGACATAAAATCGTTTGCCGATGCCGAACTGCACCGGAATGGTAAGAGCGAGACAGATCAGATCTCCAAGGTATAGGCCCGGGAAGAGCGCAAAACTGCCAAAGTCAATTCCGGGCAAATACATTGGAAGAATCATGCTGATGAGGAAGACGGGAACCGCAAAAGAGGTGGCGATGATGAATGATCTTTTCCATTCTTGGATTTCCTTCGTTTTAGACAATGACTGTAGCTGTGCGTTGGTATCATCTGAGTCAACAATCAAGGCGTTGTAACCAGCAGCCTCGATCACTTCCACAACAGACCGGATTCCAATTGTAGATGGGTCGAAAGAAACCACCATGCGAGAGGTAGCCATTTTTATTGAAGCTGAATGAACACCTGGTTGCTGTAATAGATTGTCTTCCAATGCTGTGGCAGAAACTCCGTCTCGCAGCCCATGCAAGCTCAAATTGACCTGTTGTGTCGTTTTGGAAATCGACGCCTGCGCCTCTGATGACACGATCGACGCATCAAATCCGGCATCCTCAACAAGTTCTGGAATTTTGCTGGCAGGCAGTATGGCTGGGTCGTGCACGACCACCGCCCGCTCAGCTAGAAGACTGATGTTGAATTGGATTACCCCATCGACACTGCCCAAGGCACCCTGGACGCTAGACGTGCAAGCGCCACATGTCATGCCTCCGATTGCGACGGTGGTGACCAGAAGCCCAGATTTCTCTTCCGAGCCAGCCGGTGCAGATGGCCCCTTGGAGCCCACTAGGGCAGTGTCCAGCACTCGCGCCCCGAAGCCTCGATCTTCAATGAGCTCTGCGATCTGCTCCAGTGTGATGATGCCTGCATCATATTCCACGACTGCGCGCTCGGAAAGCAGTGATACATCTACGGAGTTCACACCGCTGACCCCGTTCAACCCGCTTTCCACTGCAAACGTGCATGCCCCGCATGTCATACCTTCAACCGCGAGGTTAGCCACTGAGAACCGCGTAGTCGGGGAAAAAGCTGAGTCGGGTTTCCTTTGTTCCTCGGTCGAAAGAACTACCGCATCGAACCCGCAGTCCTCAATCATCTCTGCGATCTTCGTAGGCGGTAACACCGATGGATCATGTTGTACAGCGGCCCTGCCCATGATGAGACTGACGGAAACGTCGCGCACACTGTCTATCCCTTGAAATGCGCCCTCTACTGCTGAAGTGCACGCTCCGCAAGTCATTCCGTCGATTTTGATAGTTGTGGTGGCCATTGCGGATCGACTGGCACCGCCGGTATGCGGATTTGTAGATAACATCTCGACGGTGAAGCGCGAGGCGAACACGGCGAGGAATGACGGGACTATATCATATGGAGGGTGTCCGACAAACTGCCTCCGACGCGATGGCAGAGGGGGTGATAGCGTGCTGAGAGGGACGGATGGTCTCGGATGGCGTAAGACTAACAGATCATCCCCTTGTTGAGCAGACAAAGGGAACTGCAGAAGTTAAAAAGAAATAGTGTCAGAAAGCCACGTCGATCGAATTTAATCAAAAACTTGGTCAAAGGCGCAAGGGGAGGGAAAAAGCAAAGTGGATTTGCTCGGGAATACTAGTAGGACTCAGTGATGTGGACCACATGTGCCACGCTATGGAATGTACAAAGTCCCGCGATGTAATATGAGCGCGGGCAGCTGATTAGATGGTCCAGTTTTCAATTAGATTAGTTATTCAACAAGGGATCGTAGTGAATATAAAATTTTCATGGGTCTTGGAAGGCCTGAAACAGACTAAGCAATACGAAAACTTGTGGTTGTTTCAAAATGTCTACAGAGATGAGACTACTCCATAGTTACACTGCATCGGCTTATTGTCGCTTTTTCTATACATATGGGATGGGGGCTCCTGTACAGTGGTCATCACATTTAATATAATAGATCCGAGATATAATAACCAATAATAGAATACATAATTAAATAACAATAGTAGAAAAATAAAATAAAAGCAAGTAAAACATATATACCGGATAATGCCTGCACACTCGACCTTTCCCTTTCCGTTTTAGTGCTCACCTCTTGCCGCTTTTTGATCTCCGAGTAAAACCGAGCACGTCCCTAAGTACCCAGACTTGATCACGGGCCATTATATAACTAATCAATGTGATCTAGTTAGTTAGGTAGAACCCGTAGCAATTCTCCTGAAGACCGCGGCATGATTTGTCAACGCTACAAAAATATGACTGCCAATATCCCGGAGATCATCCTGCTCTGCCAGGACGCAGACTTTATCACCGCCTTAGAAACAGCGCAGCAAGAGCACTGGCCCGAATTACCATCAAAGCTCACGATCACCCCTATTAACTCGCGCCTGAACCGCCTCGACCCCTTAGTAACCTTCGACCTGATCGTCTCACCCGCGAACTCATATGGCCGTCTAGATGGAGGCTTTGACGACGCTATCTCATTAGCCTTCAGCCCGCGCGATGACTACGAAGCTCTGATGCGCGTAGTGCAGCTAGAGCTATACGAGAAATGGCGAGGATTCGCGCCGCCAGGCACATGCACGCTTGTACAGTTCCCTATGCCGCTTTTACAGAATTCCCGGCGCTGTGCCTGGGTGGCTATCTGTCCAACTATGCGAGAGCCGATGAATGTTGTCTGGGACCGAGAGGTTGTCTATGAGAGTGTCTGGAGTTTGTTATGTGAGGTCGAGGGGCATAATCGGGCTTCTGAAGAGAAAATTAATCGTCTCTTAATAACGCCCCAGGCTGCCGGTATTGGGAAGGTTAGTAAGGAGCGTTGGTCGGCGCAGATGGTGCTTGCAATGAAACATTTTGTGGACGCAGTCGAAAGGCCGGAGCGGTGGAGTCGAATGCAGTGGAATGAGATCATGAAGGATTGTGACGAAGTTGCGACGACATGGAAGACAAAGGAGTAGAATAGATTCTAATGCATAGTCTTCGTCGTCTGAGGTCTATATGACAGAAAGCTGGTGTACGAACAATGTATGGTATAGATGACCAATGTTGAAGACTCTAGCAGGTTTTGTCATTTTAGTTAGTTAGTTAGAGTCTCCAACATTGGTCATCTATACCATACATTGTTCGTACACCAGCTTTCTGTCAGCACCTCCCCCCGGCCCCGGTATACCTAGAGAATCGGCTATTTAGCCACGTACGCGGCTCCCCCGGGGGTATAGAATATACAGACTGCTAGGGCATAGAAGAGAAACATATCCAGATAGACCAGTTATTTATTTTAATTAAATTTAATGGCGTTATGGTTGAGATAGATGCAAATAAATTGAATAGGTTAGATGGGGTGGACCACTCGTATATGAAATCTGTTAGTTATCTGGCACGAATCAGATAAGACATGTTTGCACTTCATGCAAACAGGCATCTCCACCTAGACTACGATGCTTCCCATCTTTGAACTCAGCTACTCCGCACCTCTCACCCGTGGACCCATATTACAGCTCTCTACCTTATTTACCCTTCAATCTCCTCACTGGACCTACACTACTATCAGCCACAAGATCCCCATGGATCAAACCCACACACGAGCCCTAGAGGCTCTCCAACCATTCATCCACCTGGCTCGCTCTAATAGCGCAGGCTCGCCTCGCTTTATTGCCAATCTCATCACAAATGCCACCTCAAGCACGCAAACATACGTCTTTGCAGAGCTGCTTGAGCTTCCGACAGTCCAAGCATTACGGTCACCAGACACTCCAGCCGAGTTTAAGGGCTATCTAAAGCTACTAGAGATCTTCGCGTGGGGCACATGGCAAGAATATCAAAGTAAGATCACATATACCAAAAGTCTAGGAACCAAAACAAGCCCCAAATCATCCAAATGAGCCTCCCCGGACCACCAAACTTTTCACCCCCACCCTCTCAAGCTACCAGAACCAAAGCTAACTGCCAACACTCCGCACTAGCAACCCCAAACCTCCCCGAGCTGAACACCGAACAAACCCTCAAACTCCGCCTGCTCTCACTCCTAACCCTCTCAACGACAATCAAACCCCTCACCTACAGCGCCCTGATGACCGCCCTCAGCACTCCTACAAAAGCCGAGCTCGAATCCCTCGTAACAAAAGCCATCTACGCCTCTCTGATAACAGCCCGTCTCTCACCAGCCTCCGACCCACCATCCGTGAACGTGACAGCCGTCGCCCCATTGCGCGACGTTCAACCTCAGTCCCTACCTCAGATGATCGCCAACTTGAGTGAGTGGGAATCACGCTGCGGCGAGGTTGTCACCGATCTGGAGGCGGAGATCGCGCGCGTCAAGAGCGACGCTGCGAAGTGTGCTGCGCGTGCCAAGGCACACAACGAGGCGCTCGAGGAGGCTGTTAAGAGGAAGCAAAGTACGGGGAGGAAGGGTGGTCGGCGCGGTGGTCGACTTGGCGCTGGCGTCGGGGGGAGTAAGAGGGATGCGGACGACATTGATGAGGATGATGGGTATTTTGATGCCTATGATGGTGGTGAGCATGGCTCACGCATGGATATTGATGAGGCACCTAGTGCTCGTGCGGGAAATAGTCGGCAGCCAAAGAGGGTGTTGGGGCGCAAGTCTTGAAGTGTGGATGCGTTGATGCATTCACATGACTCCATTCCTCATTTGCTCATGGTTATGTGGCACTGAAGATCATAGCGGCTCAAACGGGATTTATGATATGAAATGACTTGATTATGGTTTCATCTTTTACGGACGATATCTATGGGATATGGAACCCGTGGATAGGAGCAAGTTGCATTCGTAAGGCCTTAATGGCGACGCTCATTAGTGAGAAAATAGATACAATACAAAGTTTTCAAAGTCAGGGGGGGTATTGTTAGAAGAGAAGAAAATATCACAGGAAAACAACAGACGCAATAAATATGGACATGACAAAGAGGAGGGCCGCTGATAAGCGGGTGGATAGGGCGAATGGAGGAAACCAATATACCCTCTGTATAGCTCCGAGGATGAAAATGGGCTGCAGATTCGAGACATAGTCTTTTTCAAGAATATGCATCATAGAAACAAAACCTCGGTATTCAGACACGTTGGGAATGTCTTGAACAAGTCAAGCCAAGACAATTGAATTGTACACATGGCAAGAATGATCAGACGATCAGACAAGTTCAGGGAGCGATTGTTTTTGGAAGTTTGGATTGGATGTAGACTGGACTCGGCGAGAAGCTCACAGCATAGTACCAGGGACGAAAATGAACAAGATGCTTAGAGCCGCCGCTGTGAGAAAGGCGATCAATGCAGTGACGAGGGCACGCTTGTTGAGCAGCTTTCGGACATAGGGTTCGCGAATTGGTGCCCAGTTCATGAAAGTGTATTCACTGTAGCCCAGGAACGCCATGGCGGGATCGATCTTGTATTGGTAGGAGATAATGAAGTATGCAGCGACAGCAAATGGAAGAATAATCTGGATTAAAGTTAGCAAGCTGGTTCATCCGTGCTTAGAGAGAATAAGAAACTTACCCAGCAGCGAACGTTCCGGGGCTTATTCCTCAGAACAACGTAGAAAGCACCCCAGAATCCTCCACCGAAGCTAATCAGAGCAAAAGCGAGGCGCAAGATGATACTCAGGGGAACCATATTTCCAAGGGCCTTTGCTTGCAAGAATCCTGGGAATGCATCACGCTCCATAGCCTGGAACACATAGTCCTTGGCCGGGTCGAACACTTCGGGGTCGTCTCGGCCGTCGTCTTCGACCAAGTTGATAATTGTGGAAACCATCGTTTCTGGTAGCATGATCTCTCGTTCAGAACCGGGAAGTAGATATGTGTATAAAATCTTCTCTGCGCTGGCGCGAATGTCGTTGCGAGCCACTGTGTGCCCCGGGGAGGTTGAGTCGTTAAGTCGGGAATCTGGGGTGTCACGGCCATCCTCGAACGAAGAGATCTGATGTGCTGATTCGCCGGAAGATCCTAGGCTGTTTTGCCGGGAGGCTGATGTGGTGTGGCCTTCGGAGCGAAGGAATGCAGACAGGCGTTGGTCGGCATCTCTATCTTTCTCGTTTTCTTGGAATCCGCGTAGACGAGAAGGCCCAGCCTCCGTCAGCGGGATATCACCTAGGTTCTCGAGATTGTCTAGCATGGCAGATGATCGTTTGCTATCGGCTCTTTCCATATCGGGGGTCGCGACAAGTACGGAACGGCGGAGTTCACGCACATAGTGTCGGCACAATAGCATATGTTGGGATACATCCAGCCTAGAGATCCCGTTAACTTCAGATACAGGCATCGAAAGTAGGCTTACACGTACCAAAAGTCTAGATAGTCTACAGAACGCTGCTGGTCGCGCATGTAAATGTAGAACGAAAAGAGGTCGACTGGGGCGAGAGTTCGGCGACTGAGCACCTCGAAGAGGGTCGGTAGGCGATTACGCGACTCTGCGTCAACAAAGTCATGATGAGACATATCGATAATGTGTTTTAGAATAGTAAACGGTGTAATGACCAGCACCGAAATTTCAAAGCGAAGGCGGGGCCCGGGGAGCAAAAGGGGGGAGAGCTTGAGGTCGCGTTGGCGGGTGAGTGAGCGATCTCAACACACCCCGAAAGATGCGAGGAGTAAAAGTAGCCGTTTGAAAGCGAATAATAGACGATCAAGAGCGAAATAAGAGGGGTTGAAAAGAATTAACCTCCACGTTGCGAGGTACACAACGAATGGTGTGTGGATATCGGTTGAGCCCCTGAGGTCACAACACAACTAGGTCGGCTCAGCAACAGCAACGGTAAAAAAAGAAAACAACGAAGAAACAGACAAGTCCTGCGAAACGAAAGACGTAAGGGTGAAGTTGAGGCTATTCCAGCCATCAGCATTCTTCATGAAACATCGGAACAATGATAATCCGAGATTAAGATCTGTCAGGGGGGAAATTAACGTTGAGATTTTAGGTTATTGCTTCATATATCATCATATATATAGTCATTTCTACAAACATGTTTACATTCAATTCATGCCTTCTATAACTAACTGATGCTTCTCTATACAATGAACATCAACTTGAGTCTGACATATGTTGGCCCCACAATACCATGTATAGATGTGATTGGTGTGAAGATCAGCATATCCGTCCATGGATGGATGGAGCTTGACATTGATCTACAAAGTAGCCTTTGTACACTAAATCAACGTTGAAATTTTTTTATTATTCATGAACTGGCATTAATTCATAAGCCAGTAAAAAATTGCATGTGGTAATCTCTCAACAGGGTATTGCCCATCAAATTCCAATCCAACGCCATTCCATAAAAACACCCCTCGCTGCAATAAATGTATGTCCCGAGATCAATGATTATCGGCGAGGTGCTAGATGCCAAAGTTAGCTTTTGTTTCTTTGAAGAAGCCTTCATGGTAAATACTTACTGACCACTCCGGAATATTCCGGATCTGCTGCCACATGAACTTCTCAAGCTTGTTTGCGCTCTTAGCATAGGGTGTGGTCTCATTATTGTAGCGTCGGCAATTGTTGAATATCAACATGGCATCCTTGATGAAATCCTGTGGGGTTGGGTACAAGTCCTTCTCATGTTTCTCTTCCATGCTTGACAGATCCATGGGTTCCATGATTACCTCATAGTAGTCTGGAACCTCATCGCGGTTCACGGGTTGGGTAAACGGCCAGGCCGCACTGTGGTTCTGCATATCGTTCAACAGATGCAGCAATTGGTTATAGTTGGGTCCATGGCGTGGTTGACGAGCCATTTCATCCATATCTGGCGACCATCCAGACTCTTTAATTGCGGGGATGCTCAGAGGATCGATTGCATATACCCCGTTCTTCCATTCCTTCGGGGGAGGGTGGATGATATGCGAACGACTGAAGGCGCGGATCTTGGCTTGCACAGATTCCTTCTGCTTGGTGAGCATCCGTCCCATCTCCAGATAACGGATCTTGGGGAGCATGGTACACTGCATGAGCGTG